GGCCCCTCCAGCCACGTGTTTGCCGCTTGCGCTCCCGGCGCCTGCTGCTCCCTCGTCCCGACAGACCGTCTTTCAGGACACAGAGCTGTGATTTAGCTCAGCCAGCGCCGAGCAGAGACGATTATTCCCTCTGGATAGAACTGGAGCGGCTTCGATACGAAGTCTCTCGTGTTGCGGGAAATCAGAGAGGCGGCGGGAAGTGTTCTGTCTGCGACGCAGAGTCAGCCTTCCGCTGGGAAGCGGCCCTCGCTCTCACCTCCCGGCAAGCGCTGGCCACGCGAGGGACCCGGCCCCAGCCGCGCAGGCCCCACGGCCCTCGCCCTTCAGAGACGCCCGCCCGGGGGCGCAGGAGAAGGCGGCCGGGGGCCAACTCCCCGCCTGTGCTCACACTCTGGTCACCGAGGCCCACACACCCCTGGGTCCTGCAGAAGTTCCCGCTCCTCTAGGTCACCCCATCTTTTCAGAGGACTTGCGTCAAGGACGAGACGGCCTGAGAAGTTTGAGCAGCACTTAGAAGAGGTGCTCCGGCTCCTCCCAGCTCCACCCGGCTGCTCCCGGCTGCTCCCGGCTGCTCCTGGCCGTGGGCTGGCTTCTGGACAATGTGTTTTCGCCGCTCCCAAAGACTCCTTGGACACTGACCAGTCTCCGAGAGCCGAGCCAGGCAGTGAAGGGGAAATTGGTGTCCTGTAAAGAAGTAATGATAAAGGCAGCAAGACTCACACCAGCGGGGCTTTCTGCCGATGGCGTGGGATCTGCTGAAGCCGGTGCCGGAGCTGAGTGGTGCTTGGACGGGGCCACGCTGGACAGGCCGGGAGTGGCTCTCTGGGTGTTCACACCGCGGCCTGTGTGCCGTCGGACTTGGCTGCTGGTCTTCAGGTGACCGGAGGGGCCACCCTTGGGTCATCTCCTAGGCGGTCGCCCAGGCAGGGAGGACACTCGTGCCACTAGTACGCCCTCATGGGGCCACCAGGCCCTCTGTCCTGCGCCTGCGGCTGCCTCCTTCACAGAAGCACCTGGAGGCCGTTCGGGGGTGAGTGTCCAGGACCTCAGGGAAGAGGACGTGTTGCTGTGCTCCCTCAGTCACCCCCAGCTGCCCCAGCACCCGGCCCCCCAGGACCTGCTCTCCGCTGGCCAGGCAGCGCCCCGGTGGGCGGGAGGCGGCAGGCACAGACTGGCCCTGCCAAGGCTCCCGGTGCTGCCCGGTCCACTCGAGTCGGTTTCAGGAGTTTCCCGAGAAGATGGCAAAGCACAGTTCTTGAAACGTGTGAATACCCAACATAAGATAAGAAACATAATTGCAGTTTAGACCTCAGATTTATTTGAAAAGGGGATAATGATAGTAATTACCCAGTTTGAGTTTCGGGGAAGGCTAATTGGATCCCCGAGGCATTTGTATGCACCAGGAAAGCCGTAAATACAAAGGACCATCTGGTCGACCGGCTCGCAGCCCTGCGCTGTCTGTAATTATTTCTTCTGGGTTGTTTGGGTGCTGAGCTGAGGAAGCTGTACTTCCCCGGGGCAGGGCAGGGTCCGCCCGCCCGTGCTTCTGAAGACTCGGGTCTTGCCCCCTTCCCAGTAAAAGTTGCAGGGCAGAGAGACGCTGCTCTGGGGGGCGAACATCTTCACATGCTCCCCACCACCCCCTGTGTACCCCAAGCGCCTCTGTAAAGGCCCCGGCTTGTCTGGCCCGTGGTGCCGCGATCTGCAGGACACGCTGGGGCCCGGGGAGCGGCTGCCTGCAGCACGCGGGTCTGCAGGGGTTTGGGGACTTTGGTGAGGTGGGGCTGTGCGGGCACGAGGCAGGCCTGGGGGGCGGCTGGTGTCCCGGGCGCGGCTGCCCCCACGGGGTCAGCTCTGAGAACTGGCCCCTTGGCCGGGGTCTTCTCCATCAGAGGACGTCAGATCTCACAAGATGCAGCTGCTGCATCTGTGGGCCGCCGGCGGCCGCTGCCCCCCCGTCGGGCGCTGGATGCCGCATGTCCCGCGATTTAGGTGCCTGAGACCGCGCCCGAGTGCCTGGGGGAAGCGCTGGCCGAGCAGCCCACAGGGCCGCGTCCTGGCCGATCAGGTGTCCCCAGCCCGGGAATCGGGCCAGCCCAGCGCCCCGACTGCACGCTGGAGTCCTGAGCCCAAGCGGAGCCGACTGTTCCCACGGTGAGCGCGTCTGCAGACGAAGCAGCTTGGATTTCAGCAGAGAAGAAGCTCTTTATGGATGGGCGCCCTGTGGCAGGAGGCGAGATGGGTGGTGGGCGCGTCGTCTGGACTCAAGCCTCCTGCCCGCAGGCTTTCACGCAGGACAGGTGGCCTCAGAAGCCGCCGCCGTGCTGGCCCCTGGGCATGGCGCTCTCCTCAGAAGCCCTAAGGCCTTCCGGTTGCTGTAGCCCACCCTGCCTCCTGGCTCTGAGCCCGGCTTCCGCCCGTTCCTGCTGTCCCACCTGAGGCTGCTCTGAGGCCCCTTTCTTTTTTTAAAGTTGTAGTATTTAAAAAAATATATTTATTTGTTTATGCACACAAGAGCGGGGCTGCAGAGGTGCGGGGGTGAGAGGACTCCCCAGAGAGAGAGAGCGGGCAGCAGAATGGGCAGATCCACTGAGACCCAGGGTTGAGGGGGCAGCGGGGGTCAGGGGGTCAGCTGCGCCCTCCCTATGCCGGCCCCTGCTGCCGCCCCCACCCCCGTGCCAGCCTTGCTGTGGGCACAGCCCTGCCCGTGGCTCAGCCGCCCGGCGCTGGCTTCCCACCAGGCTGTAAGTCCCGCAGGCCGGGCTGCCCCTCTTTTGCCCTTTGCTAGACCCTCTTGGATCTGAGCGAGGAGCTGGGCGGAAACAGGCTCATGTCCGACCTCCCGGGTGCTGGACAAGGCCTCAGCGGCCGATTAGTCAGGGTGAACTTGCAGGGGGGCCCGCCCACCGTGGCCCGCCCCTGCCCGTGGCGGGGCGCCAGGAGCCCACGGAGGCGGGTTTCTGGCAGAAGAGGCCCAGCCAGGTTCCCGAAGGCTGGAGCACGCTGGAGCTCGAGCCGCGATTCACGGCGCACAGTCCCTGGCTACGGCGTCCAGGCTGATGAGGCACACGGCGTGGCAGGGGTGGGGCAGCCTGATTGTCGGTTGTCAGTGTGATCCAGTACCCAGACAGGGGCTTGCCAGGGGGGTGACCGTGATGGTATCTGACCTCAAGTTCCTGATTTGGGGACAAGCGGCCTTTGAGAGTCAGGAGGGACCCGTGTGAAGGGCAGCGTCGCGGGGGTGCTGTGGACGCGGCCACGCTGGGTGGACGGGGCCGCACGCAGGGGAAGGCCGGCCCGGGCAGCAGGGGGCCTGGGGAGCCGGGGCCAGCTGGGCGGATGTTGCCAGCAGCTCCCGGCTCTAGAGGGGGCCCGAAGGTCTGCCGGCTGGTGGGGCTGGTCATCCGGTCCTGTTTGCTTCTCATTAAAAGCCACGCGTTGGTCTGATTAGGCTCCGGGTCGGGCTGCTCTTCGGTCCCCGAATCTGAAGATCAGGCTCATTTTCTAAATTGATTGCAGTTAGAGTGTCCGTCTACACACCCATGCGGCGCGCTGCAGAGCCGAGAGGCGGGAGGCGGGAGAGACGAGGCCCGCCCTCCAACTCGGGCAACTCGGGAGCCGCCGGCCGGGGGCGGCCACAGAGGACGCGGCCGCCGCCCAGGTGCCACATCTGCACTGGTCGCCCAGGCCACCGCGGGGTGCCCCATGAGGCCGCCGCCCAGCAGGGTCCCGCCCTCGCTCTGCGAGCTCCCCACTACCCTGCCAGCACCCCGTGTCTCCTCTCTCTGGACAAGACGGCACAGCAACCGCCGTGGCCCCGGCAGTGGGCGCAGCTGAGGCTCCCCTGGCCCCCTGCTCGGGGCCGGCGTCCCCCGCCTGGGAGGACTTGGGCCGTCCCCAGAGCCCCGAGCGTGGCCGCGCAGCCCTCGGACCACCGTCCACCTGGCCGGGTGCATGTGGACACCTCTGCTGCCCTTTGGGCGACAGCGGGCGGAGTGCCCTCGCCGGCACAGCAGCCCCCCGACCTCGGTCAGTCGCGTGGTTTGGTTAAACAAAGTGCAAAGGCCAGAGAGAAACAAAGCGGACACCGGCTGCAGGCGGGGCCCGAGGGCTGAGCCCCGAGCAGCCGTCAGGGCACTTGGGAGGTTCTCCCAGCGGCTCGGACGGGCCCCGGCCTGACCTAAGCGCTGAGGGCCACACCCAGCGGCCGGACCCTCCCCCGGCGGCTTCCCGGAGGGCCGGTTCTCCTGACACCTGCTGGCCCGGCTGACACGGCAGGGGAGAGCACCACCCGGTGCCGGGGAGCCGAGGGGGCACCAGCGAGAGGCACAGGGCGCTGCATGACGGGCGGGTCTCTGCGGAGCCCGGGGTTCCCAGGCCCCGCCTCGTGGGAGGAGACGCGCGTGTCGCCGGGTGAGGGCGTGCGGCGTTGCCCACGGGCTGTCGCTGTGTCGCAGGGAGGGGCTCGCGCTGGCGGCCCCTTCAGTCTCCCCAGCGGAGTGAGCCCCGGAGCCCCTGAACCCCGAGGCTCCCCAAGAGGGCATGGGCAGCTCCACACGGGCTCCGGGCATTTCAGGAAGCTTCTGTCTCGAGTACACACGGCAGGTTCACCTGCCGCAGCCAGTGCCCCGGACGGAACCGCCGGGCGGGCGAGGCCACAGGGCTGTTTGCCGTGAGAGCAGCCGGGGGTTGGCAGAATCACGGGGCCCGGCCAGTGTCTGTCGCGGGCACATTAAACGTCCCCGGAGACCCCTCCGGCCTGTTCGTTTACCGGGTGGTAAGAGGCAGACGCCCCGCCACGGAGGAGGCCACTGCGAGCTCCTGGAGGGCGGGGGGCGGGGAGTGGGCTTGCGGGCAGCCTGGATGCAGGACCAGGGAGAGGCCGGGGAGACTCTTCCCTGCCCTGGGAACGCTGGGAACCCTCAGACCCTGGGCCTGGACCCCCCCCGCCGCCGTGGGGAGCTGCGCCCCTAAAGCCATGTGTTCTGGTCTCCACACAGGCCTGATCTCCACGACCTCAAGGAAGCTGGACCGGGAGCAGCAGGCGGAGCACTTCCTGGAGGTAAGCGCCACCCGCGCCCTGACCTGCGCCCCGGGTTCTGGGAGGGGCTCCCACTGTTGGTGAGCTCCCACATCTGCTGCCTACAGAGGTGTAGGTTTTGCTTTTGGGCAGTTTCGAGAAGCTGTGACTTTTGTGTCCCGTCACGTAAGAAGAATAAATCTTCTGAGTCGAAAACACAGGCGGCCGTGCTCACACGCACTCTCCCCACGCTCGGGCCTGGCCCTCTGCTGAGGTGTGGGGTTCAGGGAGGGGGCCCTCCGGGAAGAGCTCCAGAGCCCTGTCAGCGCGAGCCCCAGGGACCCCTACAGCAGGGGCGGGTCCATCTCGGAGGCGGGCCGGACGCCTGGGCCGCGGGTGGGAGGGCGGGTGAGCGCGCCCGGAGGGGCCTTCTCTGGGCTCAGCCTGTGGGCGCGGAGTCCTGTGGTTGCGTCAGGCCAGGGGTGCCTGGGCGGGTCCGGGGGACGGTCCCCGCGTGCGGCCGTGCCTGCCCTGGCCACCTCCGTGCTTCCCGCGGCTCCCAGCGGCCGTGGCCGGGCCCGGGCACCCTCACCCCGCAGCTGGCGAGGACGCCCCCCACTGCCGCGTCTGCCATGAGCCCCCAGACCATCCTCTCGGCCTGCGCCACGCTCACCACTCACATCTGTGCTCTCACACACTCAACGCCGGCCACGTTCCCTGTGCGCACGCACGTGCATACACCCCCTCACACGTGCTGCTGTCCTGCTCCATCAGCGCTGGCCTCGGCTCCGCCAGTTCACAGGCCCTGCGCGCCCCGGGGCCCCCCGACCAGCTCGAGCCCCGGCCCCGGCTCCCAGAGGTGCCGCGTGTTTCCGAGGCGCCTTCCTTGGCCGTGCAGCGTCCCTGCGCCCAGGGAGAGCCAGGAGTGCGAGCCGGCCGCAGGCCAGACCGGGCGTGGGCACGCTTAGGAGACAGCACAGCTGGCCCCTGGCCGCCGCCTTCCCATCTGGCCAGGGGTGTCAGGAATGACGCAGAGAGGCACAGCCGCCCTCGAGCAGACCCCGCCCTGCCAGGGTGCCGGGCACAGGCCTCCTTGGGTGGGGGGTGCGGGCAGCACAGCCCTGAACCCGCCTCTGCCCCACCCACCGGCGCCATCACAGCAGCCCCAGGCTGCACTGCTCGTGCCTGGGCACAGAGGAGGCGCCCCCACCTCCGCACTGGGCACGGAGGAGGCGCCCCCACCCCACACTGGGCAGAGGAGGCGCCCCCACCCCACACTGGGCACAGAGGAGGTGGAGGACGTGGAGGACATGGAGGTGCGGGAGGAGGTGCAGGAGCCGGGCCCGCACACCCCACTGTCTGCGGGTCGGGTCTCGAAGCAGCGGGTTGGCTGGTCCTCGGGGAAGCCCCCGCGTGAGACGTGTCGGCCCCTTTGTCTCCCCGCTGGCGGAGAGTGGATGTGAACAGACGCTCATCGTTCAAGGCGCGCGTCGGCCGCGGCGAGTGTGCTGGAGCAGACGGCAGGGCGGCATGCGAAGGGCGGGTGGCGGGGGCCGGCAGGTGCGCGCCTCAGAAAGTCCCGTTTTCCCGACACGGGACTAAACCCTCTTACCTGCCAGACCCCGGTGGGGCCGACCCACGGCGACCGGAGCCGCTGGCCGAGCCGGCGGAGAACCCGGGACAGGGGTGGGCGTGTCTTGTGCCACCCGCGTTCCTTCACGATGTGCCCTCTGAGGACTCGGAAGTGGGGGAGCACGCGGGCTCCTGCCAGAGACTCCGCGAGGGTCTCCCTGCTGGGTCCTGTGGGTGCTTGGCCAAGCGGGTGCCGTGCTGCCCCAGCCACATCTCCGGCTGGCCGCCCCCAGTGAGCCCGCGCATGGCACCAGGGAGCTCGGGGAGGAGACTCTGGACTCTGCGCCCCGGAGCGCTGTGTGGGCCCTTCGTGCCCTCCCATGTAGGGGGCCGCCCTAGGCGAGGGCTGCGGCCCCAGGAAGCCTCCTCAGTGCCTGGTGGCCTCGGCCCACTGGCCTGGCTGGGGCGGGCAGCCATGCCAGGCTGGGAGCCGGTCCTGTTCACCTCCATGCCAGCGACCCCACGCACCGGGCCCTGCTCCATCCTGCCCAGGTCGCCCCGGGTGTGACCCATTGCAGGGGACGAAGGTGGGCCGTGAGGTGCCCAAGGGTGTCAGGTCTGCACTGACCCTGCGTCCACACGCCGCCACACAGTTGGCGCTCACTGGCCGCCTTCTGCCCCGGCCCGCTGAAGGCAGACGCGGAGGGAGTCACTTAGCAGATGTCCCAGCCCTCGAGCAGATGGTGGCCCCCACGCAGCGGGGATGGCGGGTGCTGCACTCCGGGAGGGAAGATTATGCAGCGCGAGGAGCTCCCCGGCACGTGTCTGGGAGCAGCTGGAAGAGCCCGCAGCGCAGCAGCCGTGTGATCCGGGAAGTCAGATCAGACGCCGCAGCGTCTCCCCCCAGCTCGGCTTCCCCGACGATTCCTCCCTCAAGGCAAAGTGGCCTGTAAGCACCTTCCTGCAAAAATGCCGGTGAACCCCACAGTCTAACATTTCAGCACAAACACCACCTGACAGCCATCCCCTGGGTGGACTGTGGAAACACAGATGTGGGTGGACGCGCCAGCACGGGGCTGGGGGCTCCGGGCGCCGGGACCGCGCTCTCCGCGCAGAGGCTCCGGGGATCTCCAGCGCCGTGAGACGTGGCTCCGGGAGCAGATGGGACACGTGCCTTGCAGCCCCCACGAGGGCCGTGTCCAGACAGTTGGGGGTGCGTGTCTGCGGGGCGGTCGGGTCCAGGCCCCCGACTCTCCTCCTGTCCGCCGGTGCCACACGGATTGTTCAGGGGTCCAAGCGAGTCTGAAAACTCAGCCCCTCTGCCTTGAGGTGCAGGCGGAGGAGGAGCCGGATCTCTAGCTGCCGCCTTCACTCCTGAGGGGGTTGGCTTCACCACCCGGGGCCCAGATGTTTCCAGGAACAGAAACGCCAAACTCTAGACGTCGGACAAGCATCCCGACTGCCCAGGAACCGCAGCAGGATGCGCCACAAGCGGTGCCACTCAGCGTGCCCAGTTGTCTCCGCGCCGGCTCCGGACGTCCTCGGGGGCCGGCCCCAGGAGCCAGCCCAGCAGATGGGAGCCAGAGCGGACTCCCTGGGGAAGGCTTCACCGCCCAAGGCCAGACGCGGTGTGACACGTGGCCCCAGGGCGTCAGGTGACCCGCAGGAAGCCCCGAAGGGGCTGGGCGGGTGCCTGGGAAGGCCCTGGGGGGCGGACTCGGGAAACGCCGGTCAGGAGGGCCCGAGTCTCCGAGGGAAGAGGCCCTCGCCTGTGCTGGACCGGGAGCGGAGCTGCTGTTCCCTGCAGGGCGCGCCCTCAGAGGCAGCCGGATGTTCTTGGTCGCCTTCAGGGCTGCCAGACACCGGGCTCAACAGTGATTTCTAAATAAAATCTGGAATAATGTAACATTCAGGGAGAAGCCCCAAGAAGCCCGGACCCGAGGTATTGATAAGATTTAACAAGTAAATTGCCGGGAGCACCCAATTAAGGCCATAAAGTCGCTCTGGTTGAAAGCAGAGAAACGAGTAGATGTTAAAATTACAGAGAATGGCGTCGCAGCTAGCCCGGATCTGGCGGGAACCGGCGGCCTCGGCGCCTGGCCCGGGGCTGTGGGGCGTGGGGCTGGACAGCGCTGGGGGTCCTGGAATCGGGGAGTCTGGCCCCGTCCTGGTGCTTCAAGCGTTCGCTGAGTTACGAGCAGAACCGCCCTGCCGACGTGCGCGCCGCCGCGTGAGTCCTCAGAACCGCCCCTTCCTCCATCTCGTCCTCGCGCGGGCTCGGCAAGGCAGGCAGCGAGACACGATTCAAAGAACACGCCGGAGGTCGGTGGTGGTCGGCGGCGCAGGGGCGCGACACGGCCTGGCCGCCCAGGGGTGTCTCCCCGCCCCACGGCCATGGGTGCTGAGTAGTGGGGAGTCGTGGTCCCTCGGCCCCTGGCGTGGGCCAGACCTGGCAGGACCTGGAGCCTGAGCCTGCGCCTCCCCCTGGGCCCCGGCCCCCACGGGGCCTGGCCTGGCCTCACCTCGCGGACTGCGGACTCTGGACACGGCCCATGCACGTTGCTGCCTGGGGACCCCGAGGGCTGGCCGTGGGGTGGGAACCGGGTCCACTTCCTTGGTTAGATCTGCCCCTTGGAGCCCGTTTTGGCCGCTCGGTGGCCCCCGTGCCCGCCCCTCGCCGCAGAGCTGGGCTGGCGCCGCAGACCTTCGCCTGGGAGGAGGCGGCTCGGGAGGAAGGAAGCGCCTTAACCAGGAATCCTTTCCTCCGACGGCTATTTTTTTCCCTTACGCCTTTCCAAAAAGGTGCCCTCTGCTGAGAGAGCGTTTTGGGTTTTTTTAAGATTTACTTTATTTTTCCTTATGCATACAAGAGCTGGGGTACAGACCAGACATGCGGGGAGGGTGGGGGTGAGAGGACTCCCCAGAGACAGAGCGGGGAGCAGAACAGGCAGATCCACTGAAATCCACTGCTGAGGGGGGCAGCAGGGACAGGAGAGGTCTGCCACGCCGTGTGGGTAGCTCCCTGGCCGGCCGGGGATCGAACTCGTGCTGCAGAGGCTGCGGACAGCCTCATAGGTTGCGCCTCAACCCCTTGCACCACCAGGGAGGCCCTCAGAGAGCGTTTGATTGCAGCTTTCAGAAAACAGACAGGGACGCCTCTGTGTCCAGTCACCACCCGCCATGCATGGAGAGCATGTGCCAGGCCGTGGGGAAGTGGGTGCTGCCTCCGCTCCGGACACAGGCCCGTGAGCTCCGGCCTGGCTTCCCCACGTGCTGGGTCAGGGGTCAGGGCTGCTCTGAGGAGCCGGTGAGGCCTCGCGAGCAGCCTGCTCCGTCCCGACACAGCGGCCAAGGAGTGGCCCAGAAAGTGCCGCTCAGCCCTGCAGTGGCGCCGGGCTGACCCCCCCACCCTGGCCCAGCCCAGTGCCTGCCCACGGCCGGCCAGGGTGCGCCAGCCTCTGCCCCCATGCAGGTGTGCGCCAAGCGATTGCTGAGAAGCACATCCCCGATCACGGGGTCGGGAGCCTCGGGCCGTCCAGCAGAACTGAACCAGAGGCACGGCGACGTTCTAGTCATTCTCTGCAGCTACCGCATCTCTGAATCTGCTTAGCGTCACGGCCAGTGGTGACCTGCCCCCCTCACCTCTGAGAGGCGGGACAGCGTGCAGCGGCGGCGTCCCTCCCGCCATCCGTGTCCTCAGAGCCAGCGACATGCCCAGCACCGTGACCACCGACGTCCCGCCCCTGTGCCGACATCCACACGGTCCCCCGTGGCTGGCCTGGCGCTGGGTGAGCGTGGTCAGCTGCAACTGCTGGACACGACGCTGAATTACCTTGCTGCTGGCTTTCTGTGTGGACATCCATGTCCTCGGCCGTGTTCTCCGCACACAGCTTTCCTTCACCGCCCGCGCCCAGAGGGGAGGGCCCACGGGAGGGCCCACCCAGGACCCAGGACCCGCCTCCCGCCAGGAGCCCCCAGCGTGAGGCAGGCTGGCAGGTGACCCACAGGCATGGGCAGGGGACGGTGCGGCCGGGACAGGCGTGCGGCTGGCCTCCTGGGGGCCGCACGGAAGAGCCGCAGGTCTAGGGCGGGGGCGGAGTGCGTCCTGCACTCCATCACACAGGTCACGGCTGAACGGGGCCTTCTGCACGTGGGCAGCTCTGCTGAGCTGATCTTTATCCAAAACTGACGTCCGCTCCCCTTCGCCCAGGGAGAGTAATGAAGACATTTAGAAACCAAGATGCAGTGCTTCTTTGGGCCGCCGCATCCTGAGGCGGGTCTCCCCGGGGCCCCCACTGGGGCTCGGCAGAGAACAAGGGCCCTGGTGTGCGCGACGGGCGCCGGCCCCCACGGCTGTTAATGGCAGACGAATGGTGTTTCTTTCCGCCAACAGGGCGCCTGCCTCGTTCATCCTAATTTATTGGCCATCTGGGAGCCTCGCTACGACTTGAAATTAAAATAACCGGCTGGAAGTAGAAAAACAAAGCCCGAAAAATAATTGCTCCCCTGACGCAGACCCCGAATCCCGCCCGGGCAGGCCGTCCAGAGGCGATGCCGGCTGAGGGCAGGCTCGTGGCGGGGGGGTGGGGGCTACAGGTGGACGGCTGCAGGGTGTTCCCGTCGGGGCACGGTTGAGTGACCACGGAGCCGTCCCCCAGGAGGTGGTGTAGGGCACAGCCCTCGGCCGGCCTTGTCCGTCTGGAGAGCAGGAGCCGGGGCCGGGCGGCTGGCGCTCGGCAGGGCCCCAGGGCGGGCGGTGAGCCCCGTGCAGCTCGCGAGAAGTGCTGCGGCGCCAGGGCCTCCACGCCTCGGCAGCGTCCCTCCCCGTCCAGCCAGCTCCTCTCCCAACGTCTGGTCCCGCGCCAAGGGCAGCCTGAGGACTCGGGGGTCCAGTACCTGGGGTCAGCGCACACGAGTGTCTGGAGGGGCAGTGACAGGCCGGGCAGCTCCACAGCCCCTGCCGGGCATAGCCGGTCCCAGGGAGGACCCTGCCTTTCCTTGTGCAGGGCCAGCGGGGGCAGTGGGGTGAGGGGGGCAAGCGTCCTCACGAAGCAGCATCGCCCACAGTGTCCCGCAGCTGGGACACTCCCGCTTCGGGGACCTGTCTTGGCAGGAGGACGCGACATCAGTGTCCTTTCTTGCAGAGGAGGAGACAGAGGACCTGGAGTTTGCTCCCGTCCCGCCCTGGGAAAAGTTTTGGGTAAAGCAGCTTTAAGTTGATTGACCAACATCTGTTGGCATCTGGGGCTGTGCCAGGTGGGGGCAGTGGGGAGCACCGCCTGCCGCAGGAGCACCCCTGCAGGTCTGGGTGGATGCTGGGGCTGGGCGTGGGGAGCCGGGTGCAGCAGAGCACAGCACCTTCTCTGCAGAGCCCCCTGGAGTGGGGAACTGGCCAGGGGCTCAGCCTGGAGCCACCGCTGCCCGCCCGGTTCGCCCGTGGGGTCTTTGCAGAGAGCCAGGGCTGGGCCGCGGGGTGAGCACCTGTAAGCTGTGTGTACACGTGGGAAGGGCTGTGGGGGGCAGCAAGAAATGAGGTGCTGAGTGACTCGGATCGCCCCGGGGGACGCATGGCCCAGGGCGCAGCTCTCCGGGCTCAGGGCGCCCGAGTTCGCTGCAGGCCGCGGCCACCGTTCAGGCGGCCCCCGCGTGCCTCGTCTGTGTAGGGGAACAGGCCGGTTGGGAAGTCGCCGTGGAAGAGAACGCGATTGATTTTCCAAAGGAAGCAAGAAGGTCTGCGAGGACCCGCCTTAGGCTCCTCCTGGGCGGCCGGAACGGGAAACTGCACCAGATGGAGGCTCGGTTTTGCGAAAACCGTCTCATTGGTTTTCTCGCACTTTGTCCCCCCGCCCAACCCTCCCCCCCCCCCGCCCCTCCCAGCAGGCGGCGCCGACCTTGGGCGCCAAGGCCAGGCCCAGCCACGCGGCTGTTCGCCCTGGTGAGGCCGAGTCCCCTTCACGTGCTCCCGCTTCGGGGCCTGTCTTGGGGTGACAACGGTCTCAGTCCAGGAGATGGTTTAGGATTAAACGTAGGCACCTGGGTTTTCCGGGGGACACTGGGGACGGCGGGAGTGGGGCCACCCGCCACCCGCCAAGAGGCGCTGCGGAGGGCAGGGAGGCCCTGTGAGTGCACAAGCCGCCGGGCGGCCGGCCCCCGCCATTCCCTCCTGGCCTCAGGAGAGCGTCTGCCGCCCTCCCACGCGCAGGGAGGAGAAGCGTGTCCTGCGGCTGTGGGGCCGCCCTGGAGCTGTCGCGGCCGGGTGCAGGGCGCGTGGGAGGCGGAGCTGCCCTCCTCCCTGCCTCCCCGGCTGGCCTGGCTCCGGCCTCTGGGGCTGCGGCGGGAGGCGGGAGGCGGGCGCCGGGCGGCCTCCCCACGCTTGGCGCCCTCTGCCCCAGGTGACCGTGACGGACGGCGGGCCCTCCCCCAAGCAGTCCACCGCCTGGGTGCTGGTGCGGGTCCTGGACGAGAACGACAACCGGCCGCAGTTCCCGCAGAAGGTGTACCAGGTGCGGCTGCCCGAGCGGGAGCGCCGGAGGCGGGCCGAGCCCATCTACAGGGCCTTCGCCTTCGACCGGGACGAGGGCGCCAACGCCGAGATCTCCTACAGCATCGTGGACGGCAACGGGGACGGCAGGTTCTTCATCGACCCCAAGACCGGCCTGGTCTCCTCCAGGAGGCAGTTCACGGCCGGCAGCTACGACATCCTCACGGTGAGCGCCGGGCCCCCTCCGGCCCCCTCCCGCACTGCCCGCCGCCCCCCTCCGGGAGCAGTGGCGCTGAGCCCAGAGCGGACTGTGTGTGCCCCAGGAGCCAGGTCCTTTGCCCGCCGCGGGGCGAGAGCCCGAGCAGAGACGCGGGACAGAGACTGGCTCCACCTCCAAGGAGCCCCGTCCCCCAGACTGGGCCCTGTGCCGGGGAGGGGGCCCCCCCTCCGTGGAGGTGGACGTAGCCGGCCCCCACCGCGGCAGACCGAGCGCCCCGGCCCCGCTGTCCCCGCCCCATCCTGGCCGCCTCCTGGCGTCTGCTTCCGTGACCTGCGGGCAGAGCGCGGTGCCGAGAGCCGGCCCCGGCCCTGTGTCCCTGCACGGACGCTGCGGGGGCCCTGGGCGGCCTGGCCCCTGAGGCTCCAGCTTCTCTCTGGGCAGATCAAGGCGGTGGACAACGGGCGCCCCCAGAAGTCGTCCACCGCGCGCCTGCACATTGAGTGGATCAAGAGGCCGCCCCCCTCGCCCCTGCCCCTGGCCTTCGAGGAGCCCTTCTACAACTTCACGGTGATGGAGAGCGACAGGGTGGCCGACATCGTGGGCGTGGTGTCCGCGCAGCCGGCCGGCGCCCCGCTGTGGTTCGACATCGTGGGTAAGCCCGCCTGGCCGGTGGGGCCCGGGCAGCGCAGCCAGGGCAGGGGACCCTCCCCGCCAAGGAGTCAGCAGAGGGCCCGGCTGCCCCCGGGGCCGCGCCGGGCAGAGCCGCATGGGTGGACGCTCCCCGCTGCTGCCGCCGCCGCGGCCGGTGTCCGTGTGCCGTGACCTGTGTCGCCCTCGCCAGCCTCGTGTCTGAGTGTGTCCACGGAACGAGACTCTCTGTCCTTCACTTCTCTCTTTTCTTCACCTGTTTTCTGCATTCTGTTCTTTTTTTCCTGCTCCCGACTGCTTCAAGGCGGCAAGCATGCCCGAGAGATGTTCTCTGTTCTGCAGACAGCTTGTGGGCAGAACTGCTCCACAGAAGGTACCGCGCCAGCTCCGCGCCGCCCGCCCGCCCACCGGCCTGCCTGGGGCGGGCCTTCCCGGCGCCCCCACGGCCCCCCTGCCTGCGGCCGCGGCCACCCCACCTTGGGGGCCGCCTTCCCGCCCAGGCAGCCTTCAGCGCGGTGGCAGGTTTGGGGGGGCTCAACTCTGCTCTGCGGTGTGTGGGCTTTGCCCCTCGTGTCCCTTCTGTGAGGGGCTGCGCTTGGCTGGGCCTCCCCAGCCAAGACAGGTCAGAGCCGCTCTCGGCCTCTGTTGGGCAGCAGCAGCACCTCCCCAGGCCAGACGGCCCAGGCAGGTCCCCGGCCGCATCCGCACCAAGAAGGGCAGGAAACAGAGCCTCTGTGTGTGGGGAGCCAGCGGGGGGCTTCTCAGGCGGCGGGAACTGGAGAGCAGCCGCCCCGCCGGCCCGTGAGCTCCTTGAATGACAGCAAGTGGGCGCCGGCGGCTAGCGAGGGCCCAGCAGGGAGGGCCGAATGCTGAGGGCAGAAGCCCGTCTGTCCGGGGCACCGGGGAGTGGGTGCCGCGGCCCAGCGGCCAGAGGTGACCCAGGCTCCAGCACGGGCAGGGAGGCCGCAGAGAAGCCTAGGCAGGACAGGCAGGACCACCCCGCAATGGCTGGGTCGGGGCGACAGCAGGTCCCCCATCTGTCTCAGTGAGGCCAGGAAAGCGCCCGCCCCCGGAGCTTCCACAGAGGGTCCCGGGGACCCCGCAGGAAAGCGCCTGTCTCACCCCGTCCTCTCGGTGGCTGGCAGCGTCCCCCACCCCCGCAGTCCACGCCCACAGCCTCCTCACGGAGCGCGTGGAGGGGCCTCTCCTGCCCCGCGAGCCCGGGTGGAGCCAGAGCCGTCTCCCGCCACGGCCCCTCCCAGCACCCCGACGGCCCACCCTGGCCCTGGCCCGGGCCCTTGGCGCCTGCAGCCGTGACTTCTTTTAACCCGAGAGAGCACGGACAAGTCCCAACAGATGCAAGGCCCTGAGCAGTGGGGCTGCAGGGGCCCCACCTCACCCCGTCGCGGTCTCCTGCCGACCGGCTGGCCTGGCGTGGCCCAGGGCGTGTCCTTCTCCACACCCTGGCACTGCCCACCCACGAGCAAGCCCTCGCCTGACCCCCAGTCGCTTGCTGAGCCCCAGCCACGCCCCGGGCGTCCCCTCTACTCCCACTCCTCAGGTCAAGGCTTTTGTCCCCTTCCGCCTCCCCAGTGCTGCCGCTGGGAGCAGGCCTGGCCAGGCGAGCACCCTGGCACCCGAGGGCTGAGCAGCGGGCCACCCCCAGGCAGGGCTCCCCTGGACGCAGGCCCCGTGGCCGCTGCAAACGCAAGCACAGCCGGGCCCCGTGGTTTCAGTCCCCGGCCAGGCGCCCAGACCCCACGCGATCTGACCTGTCGCTGCCTCCAGCCGACGTGGCCTCCCGAAGCACTTGATTCCCCTGGGGCAGGAGCCCGTCCCCAGTGTCACGGCTGCCAGTCGTGCGCCCCCCCAACCAGGCGTCCTCCCTGTGGGAACCGGCCAGGAAGGGTGCCCGCGCCCTGCCCCCTCGGTGTGCGGCAACCGCCACCTCCGTGAGTCGAGTCCCGCCCCGCACACCCCACTTCTTCCTCGGGAGCCCCTGGCCTGTCCGACCCGTGGCTGTGGAGCCGCAGGGCCAGGGTCTCAGGCGTGACCCCGTTTGCTGGTGCTCACCCGTCCCGGGACTGTGCCTGCCCACTGGGGCCGCTGGCCAAGACGGCTCAGGTCAGTCCGGGCTGGCCTCTGCGGCAGCCCCGGCTGCGTCCCCACACGTGGTTCCACCACAGCCACCAGACGCCCCAGGAGCGGCTCCCAGGAGCCTGGGGCGCAGCTGCCATGCCTGAGGGTTGGTTGCTTGAGGAGGAGTCCTGCGTTGGGTTCTAGAGGGGGCGCCTCCTGGAGGGCTCCCCATCTGGCACCGGGCCCCCCAGCTCCCTCAGCCAGCTCTCTTGCTTCATCCAAGACAGGGCCCTCTCCGGGCTCAGCCCACCCCTTGCATGGAGGCCCCTGCCCTGCACCCCCCGCAGAGCCCCACCCCCACGCCCCGACGTGCCCCGGCTCAGGGCGAGGGGCTTACGGAGCCCCCACGCCAGCCTGCTTGGAGCTTGCGCCCCGTCCTGTTTGCGAGTTTATGGGGACAGTCCGGCTCCCTGCAGCAGGACGTGCCCAGGGCCTCTCCTGCTGCCTGCTGACGCCCGCCCGTCCCCACAGCCAGAGATGTGGCCTGTGACTGTGCACCCGCTCGCCTGCCGGCCCTGGCTGCTCCACACTGGCCCCCGCGCTGCTGCTCTGCATGTCCGCTGCTGGCTCTGAGTGGCCACTCCTGTCCTGTGGGCGCTGCCCGGACGGCTCCACGGGTTCTTGCCCCGGGTCTCGCTCAGAGGCCCCGGAACGTGCACCCTGTGGGGGGGGGGTGCCCATAGGCCGTGGCGAGGCTGAGGGGGACCCCGGGCTGCCGGCTTGATGGTGAACTTCTGGTCCAGGTTCTGTGTCCCTCGTCAGAAATGCACCCGGGACTCCCAGAGACTGGGGCGCCCCCATGTGAGACGCCGCTCGGCCGGGCGAGTGGCACCCCCAACGATGTGGGGGATTTGGGCCATGGGCGCGAACTACACAAATGAAGCCAACCAGCAAGACTCTGGGAAATGGCATCTGGCAGGAAGGGGCGCCGCGTCCCGCACACCCCGACGAGGCAGCCAGGCTTTCTGACGTGCGTAATTTCTATTTTGCTTTGACTTTCAAGTTTTCACTTCCTGCGCTAGCCGAGGAGAGACGCCCTCTCCCCCCAGATCATCGCCTGCACTTGCTGCGGGTTTGGACAAGGTGACGGCCCTCCCACGCCCGTCGGGCCCTTCCAGACGTGCCTCCTGAGGGCACAAGCTGCTGCCGCGAGCGCTAAGACCGGAGTCCGCCTCGGGCTGCGGAGACGCCCGGGTCCCTGGGCGGGCTGGGCGGGCTCCGGCTGGGGTCCTCCCGCCTGTTCCCTAAAGGGTTGTACGCGTTCATGTGCTGCGCCCTCAGCTCATCAGAGCTATTAGCCGGAAGGAGCATCTCTTTTTAGATGGAATTTTCAAAGAACAGCTCGTCCCAGCCGCGCTGGAGCCGCCGCATCTCCGACTGGCGCTAAATGTCAAGGGCAGTTCTGTTCTCAGCAAGCAGCTACGCCTGGCGTGGTGGCCGCCGCCGGGACACCCCGCGAGCCGTGTGCGGCCAGGGCTTCTCTTTAAGGACATTTATTGGGACTTTTGAGCGTATCCCTGGGCCCCAGACTCTAGTCCTGCGGGCCAAGGGATCCTTTCCTGGACGCCCTGCTCGCGTGGACGGCGCAGAGCCCGCGGGAGCTTTGCTCTTCCCGCAGCACAATGAGATGAAGAGGCTGTTGACTGTGAGCGAAGCCAAATGCAACATTCAGCGAACGCGTCACCGTGTGCTGGTGTCAGATCAAGCCCCTGTCCAGGAACAAAATTAATCAACATCGTGAGATTTCAGACTAACGTAAATACAGCTGCGAGCGTGGGCTGGTGTTTAATGAAACCCGCTCCAGCACTGCTGCTGTGTTCTCCTCCCTTTGCGAGCACCTCTCGTTCTGGAAGGGTCACAGACCTCATTGATTCCCGGAGGCAGCACCGTGGCCGCAGGAGGCCCGTGTGGCCTGAACCCCACGGCCGGGGGCGCGTGTGTGAGCGGGGAGCAGGGCTTCCTGGCGTCTGGATGCAGGAGCCGACGTCACCTCTGCTTCTGCTCCTCTCCCAGCTTTTCTGTAAGCCCATCAACTTTCTGCTGCTGGGGAGCAGAACAGTCACCACACCATCACCACGCAAAAAAATCTACACGCGTCCTTGCAGATAAAGTTTTTCACGTGGAACCCCATGTTTCTTGCTGCTCTGAAGCGGTCGTGCTCCTGGCCTCCCGCTGAGGGAGTCTGAACGCCCCGGCCAGATGTTCACCACCAACCCGGCTGAGCGGAGGCGCCTTCTCCGCCTCGCCCGCGGGGGCCGGCCGTCTGCTCGGCAGCCGCTCGTCCCCTGGGAGCAGCAAAGGCCTCACGTCCCCGTGGGCCGGCAGGGCTGCCCCAGAGCCCCGGGGCTCACAGTTCAGCTCCACGTCTGTGGCGGTAGTGGGCGTGGGGAGCTGTGTTCTGAAAGAGGAACCAAGCCAGGCGTGCGTGTTTGAGTGCATGTGTGTGAGCGTGTGCATGTGCGTGCGCACACGTGCGCATGCGTGTGAGAGCCGCCTTTGCAGGGAGACGCCGCGTCCCAGACCCACTTCTTAGACGCGCTAATCCCTGTTGTTTCGTGACACCGCCAGGGGGCAACTCTGACAGCGCTTTTGACGTGGAGAAGGGCGCCGGCACCATCGTCATCGCCAAGCCCCTGGACGCGGAGCTGCGGTCTGTCTACAACATGACCGTGGAGGTCACAGACGGGACCAGCGTGGCCGTCACCCAGGTACCTGCAGCCCTGGGCGCGGGGCGGTGCCGTGAGCCGAGGGGCTGGGCCGCAGAAGCGCTGTCCGAGACAGCACTGGCGGGAACACCCTGGAGACAGGTTCCTCCGGTGGTGGCGGAAGCCCTGCCGCCTGTGCGGCGGGGCTGTTCGTGCCGGGAGCGCAGACGCCAGCTCCGGCACTTACCGAGCTCTGTCTCCGTGACAGTGGAGTCACCCCCGAGTCTGCGGGGGCGGCCTGTGTGTGGTCAGAGCGAAGGCCTGGCGATCTACACGGCCTCACCGTGGTCACGGGAAGTCAGAGCTGGAGGCCCATTGACGAGCTAAGTCAAGCCGGGACTGTCCCCAGGCCACACGGCCGAGGCGACCCAGGCTGACACCCGCCCGTTCCACACCCTCCAGCCTCCTCCAGGCTCCTGCCCAGCCTGCAAGGTGGAGCCCCCTGCTGGGGGGAGAGCCAGGAGGCCTGGACCCCACCCAGAGATCCTAAGTGACCCCTAAGCAGCAGGACAGGGACGGCACCGGCACTGCCTGGGGAAGCCCGGGGCAGGGGCGAGGGGAGGAGAGGAGGAGAGGAGGAGGGGCTGGACAGTGCAGGTGCGTCTGTGTGGGCAGCGCCACCCTGAAGATGAGCCCAGAGCGCTCGGCAGTCCAGGAAGGCAGCTGCACCCCGGCCACCCCCTTCTCCCCATCCCCAGTGCCTCGTGGGCCTTCTGCAGGGCGCGGCCTGACATGCTTGGCCGGGAAGTAAAGGCCTCTCACGCCGCGAGCGGGCCCGGGACAGCGAGAGGAGCACGCCCAGAGGGTGTCCCAGCCCCGGGCACCGCGCAGGGAAGGACACGGCCCAGGACGCGCTGCCTCGGTGGGAAGGGGGCGCCGGCCCTGGGGGAACGCCCGCTCTGGTCTCCGCCGGCCGCTGCGGGCAGACGGTCCCGGCCGCGGTGGACACAGAGTGATGGGAAGAGGCAAGAAACACGGGGGGGGGGGGGGGGGCAGGAGCTCCCCCCGCAGGCCACAGCCAGAGCTCAGCCACCCCGCCCTGGGCCCCGAGGTGGGACAGGCATCCTCTACTGCACTCTCCCGGGGAGCAGAGCCTAGGCCCGTCCCAGGCTGGGAGCTCCGGGGCAGCTTACCCCGTGGCTCCTCAGCCGGAGAGACGCTGCGATCTGCACGGCCGCGGGTCTGCGGCCCCGCGCAGCGATGCCCCCGGGGCTGGCCTGTCTGCGGTGGGTATTGGCGCCATCCGCCTCCGCCCAATGGAGCCAGGCCCCCCGCTGCGACGACCAAACCGTCTCCCACGTGGCCACACGTCCTCCGTGGGGCCATCTCCTGGCTGAGGAGCAGCCTCGCCACGATCCTTAGGTATTTTGATGTTCTTTGGACTAGCGCGTCGGAGGAAAGGCCCAGGGCGGACGGGCCAGGCGTGGCACCAGCTCTCAACACTCCCCGCAGGAGGGAGCGCGGGACACGGAAACTAGATTCCTTTGACTTTATATTTTCTGGGAGCTCGGCTTTGGCGCCTTTACATAATGTAAAGCCAGCTAAATGTTGAAAAGGCGCGTCCACAGCCTGAACAGGAGTGGGTGGGCAAACCGTGTGGCCACTTGGCTGCCTGCCCGGGCGTGAGCGGCCGGAAGGAGGCCCTGAAGACAGAGCTGCAGTGTGAGGCTGATGCTCTGAGGCCGTCGTGGCTGCCACTCGGCGGTGGTTTGCTGAGAGCTTGGGGCGTGAACTTCCGGTAAAGCCATGGGTGACTCAGGTGCCGGCACCGAGGGCAGGAGGCCCGAATACGGAAGCGAAGATGGGTGGAGAAAGAGCGCGGTTCAGGGACAGCTTTGAAGCGCGAGGCTGAGGCGGGATCAGCCCGAGGCCGGAACGGGCTGACCCGGAAGCGCACCGGGCGCGGGCCACAGCGGCGGCCTCAGAGCTGCTGCCAAGGGGAACGCGAGGCCTCGGAGAGACGGCCATCCAGGACATCCAGGACGGCCGCGGAAGCGTGCAGGGCCCTGGGAACACGCCATGGCAGCCAGAGGGCAGGACGTCACCCAAGGCCAGCACGGAGGTGTCCACAGACCCCGAGAGCCACCTGGGAGAGTCCCCCAAGGCCGAGGCAGGGTCTGCACACGCCGGCCGGTGCGGGGCAGCTGCGGGACGCCGGGTGTGCACACCTGAGCCCTGGCCTGCGGGCACTGACTGGCGACGCTGGGCAGGTGGTCAGCCTGGAGGCGCTGGGGAGCTTCCCGAGGCCGGGTCGTCGGAGAGGCGCGGCTCTTAGAGCTGCTGGAGTAGCGAGTGAGAGGGACAGTCACGGAATCACAGTTTTGCAATTTGTGACGATCGATGTGGCCACTGGTGGCGTCAGGACGAAGGGGACGGGGGCGCCCCAGGTGGACGCCCCAGGTGGACGCCCCAGGTGGACGCGTGTGGCTGCAGAGGGCTGGGCCAGCCGAGGACGAGGAGGCGGAGAGGAGGGAGCCGGGGGAGGGGGGACTGGAGTCTCGTGAGCTGCCTAGGCCCCTCCGGCTTGCAAGGAGCGCGGCGGAGGCACGGAGAGAGCTCAGGGCCACGGCGGAGGCCGCGGGAACCGGAGGAGGCAGCGCTGCGGCTTCGTGCCAGGGAGTCGGGGCCCGAGCAGGAGTCTGTGAGACAGAAGATGCCGAAGGACGCCCAGCTGAGTCAGCATGGCCTCCCCTGCATGCCTGGTCAGACGAGGCAGCCAGTGCTCGCGTCGAACCCGGCCCGCGGCGTGTGGAGTGGCCGCTTTCCTCGTCAGGGTGAGCAGGGCCGAGCGCCGCCCCGTGGCCGCTGCACCCTTTGTTACCTTCCCACGTGTCTCTGGCGTGCAGCGTGCTCTTCCGCTGTCTCTGGACGCTGTCGAAGCTCCTGTGTCCCGCCGTGTCCAGGCCCGCCCACCCCTGCCGTGGCCCGCGCGTGGTCTCCTGAAGCTCATCTTCCTGTTACGTCGTCCCCTGGTTTGCTGTGCTGCGTGCTGCACGAGGGGCGCACTGGCCTGCTCGTCCCCCACTGTGCGCGGACACATGCACCCGAGCGCCAGCTGGTCCACACTAGAACAGCACAGACACGAGGACCTGTGCCACGGAATGCTGCTTCCTGTCAGGGTGCCAGCACAGTGCTGACAGTTGGGCGCCGGGTGCTGGGTGTGCTGGGGGCTGGGCGCTGGGCTCGGGGGGCTCTGGGTGGGGCCCATTTTCAGGGCCCATGTTCCAGACACGCTGCAGGGGCGCGGGGGATCCCGGGTAACAGGCGCAGGTGGGAGCGGCCAAGGACGGGCTACGCAGGCCGGTCCACAGCGCTCACCTCTGCCTGGAGGTTTCCAGAACAAAGTGCTTAATAAAGAAAACAGCTCGGGACATCCCACTTTACCTGTCATCAAAACCACGTGCTCTGCCAGACCCTGCCACCTCTTCCCCACCTGTCACTGCCGCAGGATCAGGCCCCGTAATGGACATAGGGGAGGACCCCTGGGAGACTGCATACACTGGGGACTTGTCAGGCAGCCTGGCCTGACCTGGGCGTTGTCCCCTGGGGTGGGTCGGCCGGGCTGTGGGGGCCTCGGTGAACAAGGGAGGGGCTGAGGCCAGCGCCTGGGCGGGGCCAGTCACCCCTCGCTGTCCCGCAGGTGCTCATCAGAGTGCTGGACAGCAACGACAACGGCCCCGAGTTCTCCCAGGCGCACTACGACGTGACCATCTCCGAGGACGCACTTCCCGACACGGAGATCCTGCGGCTCGAGGCCACGGACAGGGACGAGCAGCACAGGCTGAGCTTCACGGTGCACAGCAGCCTGGACGCGAGCAGCATGCGCAAGTTCCGCATCGACCCCAGCTCCGGCGTGCTCTCCACAGCCGAGAGGCTGGACCACGAGGCCCAGGACAGGCACCTCCTGACCGTCATGGTAGGCCCGGCTGCCCGCCGCCCAGGGCCCGGCGTTGGGGGGCCGGCCGCAGTCTCCTGGAGACAGCCCCTCATTCAGTGAGTCGCCAGGGGTTGGCGGGCAGCGGCATCGCCCCCTGGCCTCTCGCTGCGGGGGTGGGGCCATTGTCACCGACCGGCACGTGGGGGAGGCAGGGACGGACCGTGGACGTCCTGCCGCTGGCTGGGGAGGAGGCGCTGGGCCAGGAAGCCGTAGCTTGGCGGGAAGCAGCGTCAGCACCAGGCAGGGGTTTGTCAGCCGGCGCGAAGCATGGTCCTGGCCTGTCTCGGGGGTGCGTCCGGCGTCCACGCTGCCTGGGCCTTGGGCCTCGCCCCGGCCACTGGTCCCTACGGGGCGGCGTGTGTGTTCTTCCGCCTCAGCCCTGTCCCGGCTTCTTGTGCTCGCCCAGGTCCGGGACCAGGAGTTCCCGTACCGGAGGAGCCTGGCCCGCGTGACGGTGCACGTGGAGGACGCCAACGACCACAGCCCTTGCTTCCCCCACCCGCTGTACGAGGCGTCTGTGTTCGAGTCGGCTGCGCCCGGCTCGGCCGTGCTGCAGGTGACGGCGCTGGACAGAGACCGGGGCGAGAACGCCGAGCTGGTGTACAGCATCGAAGCAGGTGGGCGGTGGCTCGGTGGTGTCCGAGGGGGCTGGGAGCGCGTCTTCCAGCTGTGCTCAATCTCCGTTTCCTGGGCTGAGACAAGCGGTGCGCGCCGAGAGGCTGGACCACAGCCAGGGTAGCCGCAGCCACCACCACCCGTGGCCACTGCCAGCTGGACAAGCCTGCACCCTGGCGGCCCTGGACAGCGCAGACTCGCGGCAGGGCAGATGGCCCCGTGCCGTGGCCTCTGACCTGCCCACTTAGCCTGGAGGACAAGAAGTGCAGGCTCCTGTTCTGTTAAATTTGAGATGACCTAAGACTCAAACGCCGATAAGGCGAGACGGTGGCTCGCAGGCTAGCTGGGGGACGGCCCGGGACACCGGCCACAGGGAGTGCCCACGCTGGCTGGAGCCGGGCACTGCTGTCCAGCATCTGCCTTGCTTCCCGCCCTGGGTCTGTCCTTTTTGAACACTCAGTTCACATATTTCCACAACGTTCTGCGACATTCTGCCTGTCGAATCTGACCCAACGCCTGTCTCCGTGCCAGGCTGGGGGCTCCTGTCGTGGTTTCACTGCAAGCGATTTTGCGAGGGGTTGAATTAAAGTACGAAGGCTAGAATGACGGTTTGGGGCTAAAAACGCCAGAAAATGAGGGCCTCACTGGTGGCGCAGGCGGTTGAGCGCCGTGCTGTGAAGCTGCCCTCAGCCTCTGCAGCGTGGGTTTGATTCCCAGCCGGCCGGCAAGGGTCCCGCATGGCGCGCAGACCTCTCCTGCCGCCCGCTGCTCCCTCAGCAGTGTGTTTCAGTCCCTCTGCCTGCTCTGCTCCCCGCTCTGTCCCTGGTGAATCCTCTCACCTTCCCTCGCATCTGGCCTGTACCCCGGTTCTTGTGCAAATAAATAAATAAATCTTTAAAAAAAAAAACCACCAGAAGATGAGGAGCCGGCAACCTTCCACAAAGCCCCGCTTTGGACGGCAGCCGGCAGCCTCCTGCATGGGCTCGGGCTCTGTGGCTGTGCTGGCTCCGCTGCCCCGCCGGGCGGCTCTCGGGTTTCATGCCGCCTGCAGCTGGTGTCTTGCGGGTGGTTTTACATTTTGGCCCCAGAGTCCACTGCTTCTGGTTCCACGGTAACCGAGCGGGCAAAATGCCTTTTTCAAAAACAAACACCTGCCAGGTCACGGGACGCTGCCTAGCGCGACGGTGGCGGCTTCCTGCTGTGGGTGTCCCGCCCACCATGCGGCCCGTCTGAGGCCCCCGGCTGCTCTCGGCCCTCCCGCCAGCCTCCCTGGCCCTGCCCGTGCCCCTGCCAGCCAGGCCGCCGCACCCGTCCTTGTACCAGGTCACTCGTAGGCCCACCTGGAGGGTCTCCAAGAGCCGAAGGGCAAGTCCCCAGCCTCCCCCGACCCCCCTACCCCCCCCCCCCCCGCTGCCTCCACAGCCTGCAGACGGTGGCGTGCCCACGGGAGGCCCCGGGCGTGCCGGCCCCTCCTCCAGTCATCAGAGCGTCCCCTGGGCTCCGCTGGAAGCCAGGCCAGGACGTTCCTGCCTGCGGCCTCAGTGGAGCCTGCCCCACCCGCCCTCTTCCCGCCGCCTGTGCAGGAGGACAAGCCCCGGCAGCAGCCCCCGGCTGCACTGATGTGAAGTCCGCACTCTCGCTGGAAAGTCCTTTCGGCTATTTCGAAACCTTCTGGACGGAGCTCTGGCGTGACCTGGGGCGAGGTGGGGTGACACGGAGCTGCTGTGGCCAGCCGTGGCCACACGGGGGGAGTCGGTGGCCCGGGTAACCCGTCCCCATTGGCTTCTGTGTTGCAGGGAACACGGGAAGCACATTCAAGATCGAGCCCGTCCTGGGCATCATCTCCGTCGCCAAGGAGCTGGACATGGCGGCGATGGGGCAGTTCGTCCTGTCAGTCAGGGCCACGGACCGGGGCTCCCCGCCCATGTCCGCCACCACCATCGTGCGTGTGTCCATCACCATGTCTGACAACGCCCGCCCCAGGTTCACGCCCAGGGACTACCAGGCCGAAGTGAGCGAGAATGTGGACGTCGGGACCTCGGTGGTCCTGGTCTCCGCTGCCAGCCTGTCCACCCTGGTCTACGAGGTCAGGGACGGGAACGCGGGCGGGGTCTTCAGCATAAACCCCTACTCAGGCGTCATCAGCACACGGAAGGGCCTGGACTTTGAGCACACGCCCTCCTACCAGCTCACCGTGCAGGCCACCAACATGGCGGGGATGGCCGCCAACGCCACAGTCAGCATCCAGGTGCTGGACGAGAATGACAATGCCCCGGGCTTCCTCTCTGCGCGGTTCTCAGGCCGCCTCAGCGAGGCCGCCCCGGTGGGCAGTGTCGTGGGGGGCCCGGACGGCCGCCCCCTGGTGATCCGCGCCTCCGACGCCGACAGCGGCCGCAACGCTCTGCTCGTGTACCAGATCCTGGAGCCCGCGGCCAGGGAGGTCTTTGCCGTAGACGCCAGCACCGGCGCCGTGAGGACCATCGCCCCCCTGGACCACGAGAGTGTCGCCCGCTTTCTCTTCCACGTGCACGTGCGGGACAGCGGCAGCCCCCAGCTGGCCGCCGAGAGCCCTGCGGAGGTGAGCGTGGAGGTGGCGGACGAGAATGACAGCCCGCCCGCCTTCACCCAGGCCGCGCCCGAGGCCATCCTGCTCCTGCCCACCTACGTGGGTGTGGAGGTCCTGACCGTCAGCGCCACAGACCCTGACTCCGAGGTGCCCCTAGAGCTGACCTACAGCCTCGCAGAGGGCGGCTCGGGCCACTTCCTGATGGACGCCGACAGCGGGGTGCTCACCGTCAGCAACAGCAGCCTGACCAAGGACCACTACGTGCTGGTGGTCAGGGTGTCGGATGGGAAGTTCTCCAGCATGGCCACGGTCACAGTCCTGGTCAAGGAGGCCATGGACAGTGGCCTCCGCTTCACGCAGAGCCTATACTCCGCCTCTGTCCCCGAGAACAGCACCAACGTGACCAAGGTCGCCGTCGTGACTGCTGTGGGGAGCCGCCTCAACGAGCCCCTGCGGTACAGCATCTTGAACCCCGGAAACAAGTTCAGGATAAAACCCACCTCGGGGGTCATCCAGACCACAGGTGTCCCCCTTGATCGCGAGGAGCGGGAGTCCTACGAGCTGGTGGTGGAGGCCAGCCGCGAGCTGGGCCGCCTGCACGTGGCCCGGGTGGTGGTCAGGGTCAGCGTGGAAGATGCCAACGACAACCCGCCGGTATTCGTGGGCCTCCCCTACTACGCTGCCGTGCAGGTGGACGCCGCACCAGGGACGCTCATCTACCAGGTGACCGCCGTCGACAAAGACAAGGGCGCAAACGGAGCCGTGACCTACGTCCTGCAGGACGACTATGGCCACTTTGAGATCAATCCCCACTCGGGGGATGTCACCCTAAAGGAGGCCTTCGATGCCGACCTCTCCAGCATTGAGTACGGCGTCACCATCCTGGCCAGCGACGGCGGGGAGCCCTCCTTGTCCACCTCCGTGGAGCTGCCCGTCACCGTCGTCAACAAGGCCATGCCCGTGTTCGATCGGCCCTTCTACACCGTGTCCGTGGACGAGGACGTGGGCCTGGACACGCCGGTGCTGAGTGTCAATGCTAGCAGCCCCGAGGGCCAGGGCCTCGTGTACGTCCTGGTGGACGGGGACCCGCTCGGCCAGTTCAGTCTGGGCTTCGACACCGGCGTCCTGCGGGTGGTCAGCCCCCTGGACTATGAGGTCATGCCCGCATACAGACTGACGGTGCGAGCCAGCGACACTCTCACGGGCGCCAAGGCCGAGGTGGCTGTGGATGTGCTGGTGAGAGACGTGAACGACAACCCACCGGTCTTCGCGCAGCCCGCGTACAACGCCACGCTGTCCGAGGCGGCGCTGGTGGGCACGCCCGTCCTGCAACTGGCCGCCAGCGACGCGGACGCGGCCCACAACCGGGCTGTGCACTACCAGATTGTGCAGGCCTCGCACAACGGCTCCGACCACTTCCACGTGGACGGCGCGAGCGGCCTGATCCTGACGGCCCGGGCGCTGGACCGCGAGGCGCTGCCACACTGCACACTGCAGGTGCGGGCGGCCGACGGCGGCGTCCCTCCGCTGAGCAGCGAGGTCCTGGTGCACGTGCACGTCATGGACGTGAACGACAATGCACCTGCGTTTGACCAGCTCGTCTACGAGGCCTACGTGAGCGAGCTGGCACCCCGGGGCCACTTCGTGACCCGCGTGCAGGCCTGGGACGCGGACAGCTCCGACGCCGACCGGCTGGAGTACAGCATCTTGTCTGGCAACGACCGGGCGGGCTTCCTGATGGACGCCAGGAGCGGCGTCCTCTCCCTGTCTGGCCACCGGAAGCAGCGCATGGAGCCCCTGTACAGCCTCAACGTGTCCGTGTCCGACGGGCTGTTCGCCGGCACCGCGCAGGTGCACGTCAGGGTGCTCGGGGCCAACCTGCACAGCCCGGCCTTCGCCCAGACCACGCAGGTGGCCGAGCTGAGGGAAAACGCGGCCCCGGGGACCAAGGTGGCCCTCGTCCGCGCCACAGATGAGGACCCGGGCCCCTTCGGGCAGCTCAGCTATGCCATCCTCAGCGACTTCGCCAGAGACCGGTTCCTGGTGGATGGCAGTGGGCAGCTCGTGACCACCGAGCGGCTGGACCGGGAAAACCCCCTGGAGGCGGACGTCAGCATCCCCCTGAGGGCGCTGGATGGTGGGGGGAGGGTGGCCTTCTGCGCCGTGCGGGTGATCGTGCTGGACGAGAACGACAATGCGCCCCAGTTCGCGGCCGTGGAGTACCGGGCCAGCGTCAGGGCAGACGTGGGCAGTGGCCACCTGGTCGCCCAGGTTCAGGCCACAGACCCCGATGACGGTGCCAACGCCAGGCTCACGTACTCCCTGTACAGCGAAGCCTCGGTCTCCGTGGCCGACCTCCTGGAGATCGACCCCGACAGCGGCTGGCTGGTCACCAAGGGCAGCTTCCAGCAGCTGCGGAGCACGGTGCTGTCTTTCTTCGTCAGGGCGGTGGACGGGGGCGTCCCGGTCAGGCACTCGCTCGTGCCCGTCTATGTCCACGTCGTGGCTCCAGAGACGCCGCTGCCCTCCTTCCCCCAGCCCCAGTACTCCTTCTCCGTGCCGGAGGACGCCCCCCTCGGGAGCGCGGTGGACACACTGCGCATCCTGCCCGGCCACAGCGCCAGGTTCAGCACCGTCAACGGGGAGCGGCCAGAGCACAATGGGGGCGGCGTCTTCGTCATAGAGCCAGACACGGGCACCCTCAAACTCGACCAGCGGCTTGACCACGAGGCCACCCCAGCCTTCCACTTCAAGGTGGCGGCCACCGTCCCCCAGGACACAGTGGACGTGGTGGTCACCGTGGACGTGGACGTCAGGGTGCTGGACCTGAACGACAACAGGCCGGTCTTTGACAGCGCGCGCTACGAGGCTGTGGTCATGGAGGGCATGCCCGCGGGCACCCAGCTCGCGCAGGTGCGGGCCGCCGACCCGGACGGGGGTGCCAACGGGCAGGTCACCTACGCCCTGCTCGCGGACGCGCAGCCCGCGGCCGCCCTGGAGGCGTTCGCCATCGACAGCAGCACGGGCTGGATCAGCACGCTGAAGGCCCTGGACCATGAGGCCGGCCCCGCCTTCACCTTCACCGTGGTGGCCGCCGACCTGGGGGAGGCCTTCTCGCTGTCCTCCACCGCCTCGGTGTCCGTGCGGGTGACCGACGTCAACGACAACCCGCCCGTCTTCGCCCGGGAGCTGTGCCGGGGGGAGGTGAAGGAGAGCGACCCCCCAGGCCAGGTGGTCGCCGTGCTCAGCACGCGGGACAGGGACAGCTCCGACGCCAACCGCCAAGTCAGCTACCACATCACAGGTGAGCGGCCCCGGCCACCGCTGCCGGGGAGGGGCCAGCGTGCTCCTGGGGCCGGTGTCCCCGGCCGCGTGGACGCTGCCGGGGCACTGCCGGCTGGGCCTGCGTGTGGGGTTGCTCGGCTGCTGTGACGGCGCCCGCCAGCGCCGGCCTTGAGACCTCTCTGCTCGGTGAGGAGACAGCGGCTTTTGGGGTGACGTAGCTAAGATTCCTTTTTCAGAGTGCTTGTTGCGGTTTAAAAGTCCCCACAAGGGCCAGCTTGATCCCTGAGCCAGGGCCCGTCCCCCGGAGCCCTGCACTGCGCCCCGAGGCCCTGGGAGTGGACACAGACTGTGGTCCCAGGTGGCTCCCGCGTGGGCAGGTCCCGGCCGTGGGAGGGGCTGAGCTGGGGGTGGCTGGGGGCGCGGGGCCGGCTTTGGGGAACCCTCCTTGCGGTGTGACCCGCTGTGGGGACAACTCTCTCCAAGGGGAGAAGGGATGACGCAGGCGCCTGGGCGGGGCCTCGGCCTCAGGGGACCTGATGCTTTCAGCCTCAGCTCTGGCCCCCCATTCCACCTGCGCCCTGTGCCCCTTCGGCACCCGCCCGGCCCTTGCCTGTGGAGGTTCAGTTCCCAGGGCGGTGGGGTGGGCGGGGCTGGTCCTGGGGGCGGGGCTGGGCGGGGGCAGGGTCGTGGTGTGGGGTACAGAGTGGTGGGGGGCGCGGGGGGGGCGTGGAGGCGGAGCCTGGCGCGGGTGGGGCGGCCCCCCGAGGGTCTCTGCTAGTGCCAGGGCGGCTGACTCTCTCACACTTTGATTCTCAGACAAGAATTTCAAGGGCCCCCACCGAGGCCGTGGGCACTGCCCGCAGAGTGGCCACCTGGCCGTGGGCGGGGTGGGCCCAGATGATCAATCGGGCTTAGCGTCCACTGCGGGCCGGGGGTGCACCTGGCATTTCACAGAGGCCAGACCCGCGGGGCTGAAGCAGCGATCACACAAGGGGGTCCTGGCCAGGGGGTTTCCCCCAGGCCCAAGCTGCCCGACAGGCCTCTCCCTGCTGGTTTGGGCTGTGGACATCCCGGGAGGCTGTTCTGGGCGGGCGGGTGTTCTCTGGACTCCGCCCTGGCGACTCCAGCGCTGGCGGGCTGGGTCTGCGTTCATCTCCTCCCGGCGCTCAGCCCTCGGGGTGGGGTCCGCGGCCCCGGCCCTTCCCCGTGTGCTCGCTCTCCGGATTCTTTGCCAGCGGCCCTGAGCCGGCCACAGTGCTGGGCTGCAGACGCGGCTCGAGTGAGTGACCCTCGGGCCCCTGGGTCCCAGCCCCAGCGCGGTCCTGGCGTGGCCGGTGACGCAGCCGGTGGGAGAGGCCGAGCGGACGCTGCGCCCTGGTCAAGAGTCAGTAGCCAGCGAGGCGTCGGGGACACAGGACACCCTGCCTGGCCGCTCGAGGCCGAGTGTTGTCGGCACGACTCTGGTGGTCCGTGGGGAGCGCCCGGGCCCCGGCAGGAGGCGTCCGCTTGGGGCTCTGCGGGCCGGGGAGGCGGGGAGGCCTCCCGGCACAGCCTCTCTCCGCCCCTGCAGGCGGGGACCCGCGCGGGAGCTTCGCGCTGGGGCTGGTGCAGGGCGAGTGGAAGGTGTACGTGAAGCGGCCGCTGGACAGAGAGGAGCAGGGCCTCTACCTGCTCAACGTCACCGCCACCGACGGGCTGTTCGTCTCCCGGGCCGCGGTGGAGGTGGCCGTCACCGACGTGAACGACAACAGCCCCGTCTGCGACCAGGTGGGGGGGACGGCTTCCCGCTGCTCTCGGTGGCCTGAGGCTGGCGCCCCCGGGCCGGCAGGGACTCCTGGGACCGCGGCCGGGACACGCGTGTCTGAGCCCAGGGCCTGCCCCAGGGCGGCTGCGGCTCTGCCCGGGCTGCTTGGCTGCTGGCCACACGCAGTGGGGCCGGACGCCTGCTGCTCCGGAAACCACTGGCCGCACAAAGCCTGGGGCCTTCCTGGAGCCCCGTGACGGCTGCGTCCCCCGTCCCCCGCGCGGCCTGTGATGGAGGGAGCAGCCGCGGGGGGCACCACCCCTTCTCCCTGGCCCGGGCTCGTCTGGCCCTTTGAGAGCCAGGAGCCCAGGACTCTGGCCAGCAGACCAGGGCCCTCGAGACTCCGGGTGGGCGGGGGGCGGTCTCCGTGCTGTGCCTGCCCCCGGGTGCATTAGGCGCTCAGCGTGGCGGGCAGGGCGGTGCTCTGCCTGGGGGGGCGGGCGGGAGGCAGCTGGGCGCGCAGAAGGTGTCGCTGGCCCTCAGCCCCGCCGTGACCAGCCCACCTGGTGCCCCGTCCAGGTCACGTACACAGCTTCCTTCCCCGAAGACATTGCCCCCGACGAGGTGCTCCTGCGGGTGGGCGCCCGGGACGCCGACGCTGGGGCCAACGGGGAGATCCGATACTCGCTCCACGGGCCTGGAAACGATGAATTTTTTCTAGATCCAGAAACTGGTAAGGTGGGGTGGCCCCTGTGTGGACGCCACGGCCACTCCCAAGGGGACGGTGCCAGGGCCCTGGGGGGAGGGGTTCCTCGCAGGCGGTGCACGAGGCCCTTCCCCGCCCGGTCACAGCCTCCATCCAGTCTTCAGCGGAGTCCCTGCCGGCATGGCTTGGGCACGGGGCCGGGGCCGGCATGTGGGCTCTGCTGTGGCCTCCCTACCCGCTGCAAGGAAAGTGCTGCAGAGGCAGCCACCTCAGCTCTGCGCCGGGGCCCCCAGGGGTACAGGCGAGCAGCTCCCACGTCTCCAGGGTCCCCTTGGGCCAAGTGGATGTCAACAGCTGCTGAGGGGCCCCCAGCCCCGTCAGCTGCCCCTCGGGAGACGCCCCGGCTGCAGGAGCCCAGGCTGACCGACGCAGCAGCCCAGTGCCGTGGCCCCGCATCTGGAGACCAGTCTGTGAACACATCAGGGTGGGCAGGCCTGGGAAGCTGTGGCTGTGGGGCGGTGGCTGAGCGTGGCCACAGCACGAGTGACGTGGAGGAGCCAAGAACCCAGCCCCGGGGGCCGGAGGGGGAGAGGACGTGGGAGTGGAGCCGCAGGGGCTGCAAGGAGGGCCTGGAGGTAGAAGGGTCTGGGGGTAGCTGGAGCTGGCTGTACCGGCCTTGCGTGTCCCCCTGCAAAGCCCCAGGACTCTGGGGTTTGGGCCCAGCCGGCAGCGGGGAGCAGGGAGGGGCGGTGGCAAGGTCAGGGGGCGCCGGCAGCCTCTGAGCCCAGACAGTCCCCAAGTCCGACCCGGCCGCAGCTTTGCACCGCCTGCCTGCGGGGCCAGAGAGGCCACTCGAGCCTGGCTGCTAGCCCCCCCCACACCCACAGACGTGCGGTCCCTCCGCTGGCCCCTCCGGCCACACATCCCCAGCGCTGTGGGCGCTGGCTCCGGGACTCCGGAGACCTCTGCGTTTTCCTCTGAAAGCCGGAGGCCAGTCTGGGAGCCCAGGGGCCTGCCCTTGGGGCCTCGGGTGATGCGTGAATGACCCTCGGGGACTCAGGAGAGGTCAGTTCTCAGCTCATCCATCCTCACAGCAGAAAGCCGGATGCGGCTGGCCCCAAGCTGCTGAGTGAGGCCTCCACGTGGCAGAAAGAAGGGCCAGGGCCTGGCGTTGGCCTCGGTGACTTGGAGGCTGCGCTGGAGAGTAGCCGCGTCCAAAATCCTGCACATGGCTCCCTGGCGCTCACGTGGCTGACGTGGCTCCGTGTCCGGGGGGGGAGGGGTGCTTGAGCAAAGCGTCCTGTCCAGCCTGGGCAGGGCTCTGTGTGCCGGGCGCGTGCGCTCCTCGGAAGCCATGTCCGCGGGGCCCGGCCAACCTCGCCTCCTTTGCCTCCGCAGGGGAGCTGAAGACCCTGGCGCCCCTGGACCGGGAGAGGGTCCCCGTGTACAGCCTGGTCGCCAGGGCCACCGACGGGGGCGGCAGGTCCTGCGAGTCCCGGCTGAGCCTGCACCTGCAGGATGTGAACGACAACCCCCCAGTCTTCTCCGCCGCCCGCTACGAGGCCTGCGTCTACGAGAACACGGCCCCCAAGGCGCTGGTGGCCCGGGTACAGGCCGTGGACCCCGACCTGGGTGAGTCGCTGGGCAGGCCCGGCTGGGAACACGCTGGGAACACGAGGGCGGCTCCTTCTGTGCTGGGACCTGAGAGCGTACCGGAGGAACCAGGTCACCAGGGAGTGGGTGGGTCGTTGCTGCCGAGGCCCAGCCTTTAGGAGGAAGCAGCCGCCGCCCTCCTCGGGCCCCAGCGCATCGCTCTTGTGGCTGCGTTTACAAGATCCCACCTCCTCCCACGAGACTGCACCCCCACCTCAGGGCACAGTGCCCGGGGCAAAGCCCACGGAGCGCCCAGGCCTCTGCTCCCACGACCGGCCTTACTGTGCAGGCGGGTGGGGGACGGTGGACGAGGATGCAAAGTCACTGATAAGGCTGGCGTCCAAACGCGCGTCACACGAGGCTTGGTGAGGCAGAGGGGCGGGTGTAAGGTCGGCAGCCCCGAGGACACACGTGGTGCCGCGGGGAGCACGGACGGGCTCCCTCCCAGCGCCGCAGGGGGCGGGGGCGTCTGTTGTGCTAAACGGGTCTTTGTGGACTCGTCGTCGTCGTTTAATTCTGAGCTGGAAGGAAAATACTGGGTAACGGAAAAGTGAAAACACGATGATCAGTTGAAAACACGCAGGCCCAGGGGCTCTGTGACTGTCCCGAGACACCGGTGGCTGCTGAGAGCCCTGCTGGCTCCTCGTCGGCAGGCTCCGATGCCGAGGGGCAGCCCTGGACACGCTGTGCAGGGCCGAGCTGGGTGAAGCCAGGAGGACGCCCGTCCCCGCGGTGCCACCCGATCCCACAGACCCGCCTGCTCGAAGGTGCGTCAGGAAACGGTCTCGGCGCATTGGCAGCTTTGGGGGTGTGGACGAGATCATACGAACGGGGCTCCCAGTAATTCAGACTCGACTTTGAGGCGGGGACTGAGCCAGACATGAAGTTTCAAGGTTTAAGCGATTTTTCAAGTTTGCCTTGAATTAGAATTCTAGCTTTAAGGAGCTGGCGTCTCCTGCGGCCCCTCTACCAGGCAGCGGGCCTCGAGGAGAGGAGGGAGCTGGTGCGGCGGGAGCCTGGCCGGGTCCGAAATCACCACCCTGGCCGGCCGGCCTGGCTGCGGGGAAGCAGGACCTCACAAGTCCAGGGACAGGGACCGGCCTCTGGTGGCGCCGCGCCTGCCTGCTCCGCCTGGAGATAGGCCGACAGCCGCTGCCGGCTACGAGGGCCTCCCGGGGCTCTGCGTCGGCTCCAGAGACCAGAACGCGGCTCCCAGGCTCGTTCCAGGTCTGTGGGGCTCTGAGGAAGTAGAAACAGCTGCGGTGGCTGGAGAAGGCCCGTCGGGGGCGCCAAGGGCGAGCAGCCCCTGGGGCCATGGCTCGGGACCGTCCCGCTGCTGCGCTGTCCTGCTTGTGCCAGGCTGTTGCCGCTGCTGCTGCCCTCTGGGCAGCCCACCTGCCCCTCAGCCTTTGGCCGCGGCGTGTGCTGACCTGAACACTGACGCCACGCTTGGTAGACGCGGAGGCCCTGCGAGGACGTGCTGCCCCTCGCCCGCGACGCCGGTGTGAAGAGGCCGTTGCCGGGCGCAGGCGCTGGCGGAAGCACGCACGATGAATTGACACAGACGTCAGGGCAGCTGGGGCTAAAGAGGGGTCAGGAACGGAGCAAAGGAGGGGACTCGGGCACTTCACGCCACCGGAGCCCCAGCACTTCACGTGTACGGGCCCCGGCCTCCTGGCGCAGCATGAACGCGGCTGCGGGCAGGCGTGCCACAGGGCGCGGCAGGGGAGGGAGGTTCCCTGTGACTCTGTCCAGCGAAGGGCCCTTGCAGAGCACCAGCCCGGCAGGCCCTGCTGCCAAGAGCAGCCTCCTGCAAACCCAGCCCCGGCCCCACATGAGCCGTGCGCCCCGGCCCCTGCAGCAGCCCGAAGTCGCCGTCTCCTGGGACAGCCCCCCGGCCTGAGGGGGAGCACGTGCTGGCAGGAGGCTGGGCCGGACAGTGGTTTTTTTTTTAAGATTTATTTATTTACACAAGAACCGGGATACAGGCCAGATGCGCAGGAGGGTGAGAGGATCCACCAGAGATAGAGCAGGGCACAGAACAGGCAGGCTGACTGAAACACATGCTGAGGGGAACAGCGGGGAGACAGGAGAGGTCTGCGCGCCATGTGGGACCCTCGCCGGCCCGCGGGGAGTCCTGGCTCACGGGAAGCGGCACGTTGAGTAGGTGTGAGGTTTTGTGCTGCCAGCCGGCGAGGCGCCCCCGCAGGAGAGGCTGGACCCCGGCAAGGCCCGGAGCCCCCCTCCCCCGGGGCCTGCGTGGACGAGCCTCCGGGGGGCCGGGCGGGGCTGCTCCAGCTGCGGGAGTGCTCCCCAGATCCTGCGCAGCCGTCGGGGCTCAGGGGACCCTCTGCCGGAGACGGTGAGCCCGTCTGCCCACTGCGCCGCGTGTGGGCTGCGGCCGGACACCCCAGCCAGTGCGCCCTGCTGCAGTGTGTTCGGGTCAGTGGTGTCGGGGACCCAAGTGTGTCCTTTAACCATGGACAGGCCCAGCCTCCAGCCCTGGGTTTTGCTCTCCCCTCCCCACCCGCACCCTCTCCCTTCTCATGGCTCCGAGTCCGTCATGTGCTGGGCCTTGGTCCAGCTCCAGCCTGGACGCTCCGTGGCCTCCAGCCTCCTGAACCACCACCTGGACACTCGGGGCCACTTCACATTTGCTGTGGCCCTGAACCCAGATCTGTGCCCCATGAAGCCTCCCACACAGCCCCCCACAGACCCCCCCCCGCGGCCCCCCCACTCAGGCCCGTCCCCCGCAGGCGCCAACCGGAGCGTGACCTACTCGCTGGCCGACTCGGCGGGCGGCGTCTTCTCCATCGACGGCGCGTCCGGCCTGGTGATCCTGGAGCGGCCGCTGGACCGGGAGCTGCAGCCCTCCTACAGCGTCCGCGTGCAGGCGAGCGACCAGGGCCCCGGCCCCGCCCTGTCCTCCCTGGCCACCCTGGCCATCACCGTCCTGGACGTCAACGACAACCCCCCCGTGTTCGAGCGGCGGGACTACCTGGCGGCCGTGGCCGAGGACACGGCCCCGGGCACCCCAGTCCTCACCGTCTTTGCCGCCAGCAGAGACATCGGCACCAACGCCGAGATCACCTACCTCGTCCGCTCGGGGAACGAGCTTGGCAAGTTTGGGATCCACCCGCGGACAGGTGGGTGAGGCCACCCCCGAGACGCGCCCCGCCCTCCCCCGCCCTGGGCGCTCCGCCCCCCAGGCCTCGCTGGGAAGACCCTCCAGCCTGGGCTCCCAGACTCCGTGTGGGGCTGCAGGATCCTGGGCCCCGGGGGGAGACGGGGCTGCACATGACCGGGGGTGGGGCCGGCCACCCTCGTGTCTCTCTGAGCGTGTGGACGTGCCTGGGGCTCCCCCAGTCACAGGCCTCACCCAGGCAGCCTCGGGGGAGGCCAGCAGCTCCAGGCTCCCGCCCCTGGCCAGGAAGGGCAGCCGGCGCACGCGTGCGGGTGGGTGGGGCTGTGCGGGGCCCCCACGGGTCTGTCTAGCCGGATCCTGTCCACTCAGGAACGCTGGGGGGCACTCCGAACAGGAGCACCGATGACAAGACCAGCTGCAAGCCAAGCCCGAGGGTGGTCCCTGCTCAGGAGAGGCCCCGGCTCAGCGCGACGCTGCCTGGGCCTGAGCGTGTGCCCTCGCCTCGGGCCGGCGCCGTCGGGGGAGAGGGCCTGGCCTGGGAGCTGCCCCCGCGGCCCCGGCAATGTGCAGTGCGGTGCATGCCCAGAAGGGCGCTGTGGGGACACCCCGGCCCGCCCGCTGCCGCTGCGCCCCCCCAAACCTAAAGCCCCCGTTCCTCTTCCCAGGGGGCATCTCCGTCTCTGAGGCCCTGGACTATGAGTCCTGCAAGAAGTTTTACCTGGTGGTAGAAGCCAAAGACGGGGGCACCCCGGCCCTCAGCGCCCTGGCCACAGTCAGCATCGAGCTCACGGATGTGAACGACAACCCGCCCGCCTTCAGCCAGGACGTGTACAGCGCGGTCGTCAGCGAGGACGCCGCAGTCGGGGCCTCCGTCGTCCTGGTGAGTCCCAGGGGCCTGGCGTGAGCGGGGGCCTGCACATGTGCGAGCACGCGGATGACACGCTGTGGGCATGCGTGGTGTGTTGTGGCACCGTCACACTTGCACACACACGTGGCACTGTGCACACGCACAGACACCTGCCCTGCAGACCTGTGCACACGTGACATACCGGCACTGCAGGCCACGTGTGTGCCCGTGTGACATGTGTGGTGGTGCACGTGTGCTCATCAGTGTGCGTGTGAGACATGCGCAGACACGCATGATGTGTGCACTTATGCGCAATGCCGTGTGCTGTGTGGCGTGCACACCTGTGCACATCTGCATGTATGCACGGTGCACCCGCAGCACACGGGCTCCCATGCCCTGGCACACGTGACACGCGGGCTTGCACGTCACACACGGTCACCACAGGAGCCGTCCTCGCCGAGCTCGGCCCGGGGCTGCGCAGCTCGAAGGCCAGCATGGAGGAGCATGTCCTCAGAGGCCGCGGGCGCCAGGACTGCAGGCGCCTCTGTGAGGCGCAGCCCTGTGCTCGGCACCCCACCACCCTGAGGCAGCCCCCACCCCTCCCAGCTGCCCGCAGCCCGCTGGGGCGTGAGTATTTTCGAGGCAGCGTCCACCACCTCCTACTCGTGGAGGCTGCGGCACTGCCACGGTGGGGCAGACTGGGGGCGCCCGTCTGCTGGGGGCGGGGTCCTCCCCGGTGTCCACCTGTGGCCTCTCTGACCCTCTGTGGACACGGGAGGCCACAGCGGCATCTCTGCCGTCAGTTCTGCCTCTGTCCTCACTGAAGACCGTCAGACGGTCGGCGTCGGACGGCCTGCTGTAAAGATGCGCCGAAGGATCGGGCAGCCCTGGGCACGGGGTCCTGCGGGCTCTGCAGCCATCGGCTGGGCCCTGAGAGCGGACCGTGCCCGCCTCTGTCACCCCCGCCCCGTCTGCTCTGCCCTGGCAGCTGCTCGCCGAGGATGCGGACAGCCCGCCCAACGCGCAGATCCGCTTCTCCATTGCGGGTGGTGATCGGGACGAGGAGTTTGCCGTGGATCCTGTCCTGGGACTCGTGAGGGTCAAGAAGAAACTGGACCGGGAGCGGGTAGGCGCCTGGCTCTCCCCGACACCCCTCCCTGGCGTCAGGCCAGTCCTGTGGGGCGGGGCTGGGGGGTGTCTCAATGCCTCACGCGCCGCACCGGGTGGGAGCTGGACACTGAGTGGGTCTGCTGCCCCTGGGGCGGCCAGTGTCTGGCCACAGAGACTTCAGAGAAAAAGCAGAGAGTATGCGCCAGAGGCCCGTGCCCACTTCCACCAGGTCCTGAACGTTGTCTTTTGGAACCAAAAACACGTGTCTGCAGCGTACACTGACTAGAGAAGAAGCGCGTGTCAGCACTGAGAGCAGAAGGCCCTGGGGCTGTGCCCTCCGGCCTGTGCGACGGCCACTGCTTGGGCATGGCCTGCGCAGGGAGTGGGCTGGGCGGGCCCCCCAGGGGACACTGGACGGTGGCCCGAGTGGGCAGAGGTGCTACTGGCCTCTCTGGGTGGAGACCAGAAAGCTCTCAACACCTGCAGGGCACAGGTCAGCCACGGGCGGGACAAGGCCCAAACCTGGCTTGTGGCCGAGGCGGCCTGGCCTGGGGCCCCGAGGGTGCTGGCCAGCCCGAGCCCATGAGCCCGTCACCCGTGCAGAGCAGGCTGCCCTCTGACCAGCCCTGACCCGGCAGGTGTCTGGATACTCGCTGCTGGTCCGGGCCGTGGACAGCGGCCTTCCCACCATGTCGGCCACCACCACCGTCAACATCGACATCTCCGACGTGAACGACAATGGGCCGGTGTTCACACCCACCAACTACACGGCCGTGATCCAGGTGAGCCACCCCGGCCTCTTGCCGCCCCATGCTGGACGCTTATGGGCCAGGGCCGGAGCCGCCACTCACCCACGGTCCCCGCCAGACGCCCACCAGGAGGGCCGCTCCAGGTCGTGCCCGCACCCTGGCCCCACGGCACAGGGAAGGGGTGGCAGGGCCTGGGAAGCAGTTGTGTCCGCTGCAAACACAGCTCTGCCCCCAGCCCTGGAGGTCAGCCCAAGCCTTCCGCACAGCGCTGACCGCCGGGCCTGCCGTCAGGGGCACCCTCTTCCTGCCTCCGAGTTGATTCTAAAGCTGCCCCAGCTCTAGGCACGGGGCATCTCACCCGCGTGTCCAGAGCTGGAAGCCCAAGGGCAGCAGGTGGGCCCAGTGCAGGGTCGCCTCCTGGGCACACAGAGGAGGGGACCCCTCCTCACCTGGGGCCCGGAGACGCTGGAGAACCAGCCGCCGGGTCCACTCTGGCCTCAGGATCAACCCCGAGTTCAGGGGCTTCATGGGCAGAGGGAAGGCAAGTGAACCTGGCCCAGCTGCGAGCATTCCCGCAGCCCCCCCGGCCCCCCTCCAGGCCGCTCTCAGCCTCCCCTCCCCGTCTGCCAGCCCCAAACAACGGTTTTCTGCTCCACACTGGACGTGACGCCACGTCCACCAGCCTGACCACGCTGCCCAGCACTGGGCTCCCACACTCCTCTCCAGCCCGCCCCAGTCCAGTTCCGGCTGGGCCCACCCAGTTCCCGCTGTAGCTTCCAGGGGCCTGGTGTCCAGAGGCCCGGGATCCCGATCTTGATGACCAGACGGCCACTGAGAGCAGGGGCAAACTAAGGGGTGCCAAGGCTGTGTCTCTCTGAGGTCTGTGCTGCATGTCCCCCTCAGACAGCGTCCCCCCCAGCGTCTCCGGGTCCCGGGAAGCAGTAGGACGGGCCTGTGTCTCCATGGCAACAACAGGGGCCCAGGGGTCCCGGAGCAGCACCCCCAAGCCAGGGTGCCCCTACCTGTCTCTGCCCCCGAGAAGCGTGGCGGAGCGGGCGTCTCCTCGACGACAGAGTCCTCCACGGCCCCAGCAGAGCTGTGGGCTCGGGCGCCTGGAAATGCCGCAGAGGAATCCGCGCACACCAGGCCCCGGCCTCCGGGACGTCCGCGGCGGAGCCCCAGGGAACACCTGCTGCCCTCGGGACGCCCTGGCCCTGCCTTCCCCGGGCCCAGCGCCGTGCCCGCGGCCGGGGCCTTGTGAGCGCAACTCAGGTGACAGCGCCCCTTCCTCCGCCCTCCCGCAGGAGAACCAGCCGGTGGGCACCAGCGTGGTGCAGCTGGTGGTGGCCGACAGGGACTCCTTCCACAACGGGCCGCCCTTCTCCTTCGGCATCCTGTCGGGGAACGAGCAGCAGGCCTTCGCCGTGGACCCGCGGGGCACGCTGCGCTCGGCCGTGGTGTTCCGGCAGGCCCAGGCGCCCGAGTTCCTGCTGTGCGTGCAGGTGCGGCCGGCGGGGCTTCAGCTCAGGCTGTTTCACACCCGTAGAAGCCGCCCGGGCGGAGGGGGCCGGGGGCAGGGAGGACGTCCCTGGGGGAGAGCGGCAGTTGCCGCATCCTGGCCGCTGGGTCCCCAGGGCCTGGAGTCCCAGCATCCTCGAGGGAACCCAGCAGGAGCCTGTGGGCAGGCGTGGTGGACTGGCTCGGAGCCACGGCAGGCGCCCCACGGATGCCCAGGCTGAGCTGCCAGCGCCGAGGCCCCCTCCAAGAAGCTGAGGGGCTGTCACGGCCACACCGGCCCCCGGGGCACCCATGTCCTGGGGTGGGGACAGTGCCTGTGCCCTGCATGTGCGGCCCTGCATCCCTCCCGTGTGGCCCCTGCACCATGGCCTGAGGGTCACTGCCCGAGCACGGCTGGCACCTGTCTCGGGTGGAGCCCGCAGAGCGCTGCATGGCCAGCACAGCCTCGCTGGCCCCAGGGAGCAGGTTCCACAGCCCGGATTTGGTAGACACTAGACGGCCTCCTCCCCTGGCCACGTGTCAGTCGGCCTTCACCCAGCATGGGCCTCACCAGCCGGCACCTCCCTGCTCTACGCCGCCCTCGGGCTTCAGCCTCTGACCCGTCCCTGACTACAGTGCCCACCAGGCCGCGTCCCTCCTCTGACCGCCCTCTAAACCCCAGGCGAGCCCTGGCCTGGCTCTGTATGAATGGAACCTCACTGGGACCCAGACTTTCCTGGCAGCTGCCCCTGGGGGGATGGACAGTGGCTGACGGACCGCAGCCTGGTCGGCCTCACCTGGAGTGTGAGAACGGCTGCCAGTCCCGCCCCGCACGCCCCCTGCCGGCTTCCTGCCCCCCCCCCCACCAGCCTGTGCCCCAGGGGGTGTCTGGCTGCTCCTCCAGGTCTGACCTTCCAAGGTCATTTCGCAGACTGAACTCAGCCCTTCTCGGGCACAGGCCTGTCTGTCGCCCTTTGCCTTCCTGGCCTCTTTCTCACCTGACTCCGGTGAGGCTGAGAGGCGGCGACCTCTGCCCCACACCCCAGCTCACCCTCTCCTGAGACCGGCCAGCTGGCATCCAGGTCTCCTTCCTGACTGTCCGCTCAGCCCCTCTGGTCCCTGGGCCCATCACGGGGGGCAGATGGCCAGTGGGGCGCAGAGAACTGCCCAAAAGCAGCCACAGTCTTGTGTAAGGACTCCAGGGGTCAGCGACGCAGGCGCTTACCCCACCTGGCGCAGAGGCTGGCTGCAGCTCAGGGTGCACCCGGGCTTCCCCAGCGCCCCTCCCCGTCTCATCGGGAGGCCGCCCAACCCCGGGGCGGGGAGGAGAAGGGGCTCCGTGGTACCCCGGGGGAGCCAGTTTTCACTCTAGACCGTGCCGCCCCAGGAGGTTTCCCAAGGGTATGGAAAGGCCCCCGGGGAAGCGCCAGGAATCCCAGACAGACTTCTTGCCGGCCAGGGCCGCGGCACCTGTGTCCTCCTGCCCCCGCCCGCTGTGTCCGCACTGGCCAGCGTGGCAAATCACCCCCACTGGATGCTGGACAGGGCCGGAGGGGCCGTGGGGCCGCCTCGGCTGCCCTCAGCCTGCCTCTCCCCCGGCTGTTTCAGGCCGTGGACTCGGGCCGGCCGCCGCAGGCCTCGCACACCTATGTGCACGTGCGGGTCATCCAGGAGAGCGTGCACAGGCCCACGGCCACGCCCCTGGAGGTCTTCGTCGTGGCCCTGGAGGACGACTTCCCCGGGGGCGTCATTGGCCAGGTCCACGCCGCCGACCAGGACGCCTACGACACGCTCACCTTCACGCTAACGTCGGAGCAGAAGAGCCTGTTCAAGGTGGACAGCCGCGACGGGCGCATCACGGCCCTGGGCGGCCTGGACAGCGGCAAGTACGTGCTGAACGTGTCCGTGAGCGACGGCCGCTTCCAGGTGCCGGTGGGCGTGGTGGTGCACGTGGAGCAGCTGGCGCGCGAGATGCTGCCGCACACGGTCACGCTGCGCCTGGAGGACGTGTCCCCCGAGGACTTCGTGGGGCTGCACCTGCACGGCTTCCGGCGCGCGCTGCGGGCCGCGGTGCTCACGCAGAAGCAGGACAGCCTGCGCATCGCCAGCATCCAGCCCGCGCCCGGCGCACGCCAGCTGGACATGCTGTTCGCCGTGGAGAGGCGCCCCCGCGACTTCTACAAGCCGGCCTACCTGATCCAGAAGCTGTCGGGCGCGCGGCGGCACCTGGAGAGCACCGTGCGCATTGCCGCCATCCTGGAGAAGAACTGCTCGGGGCTGGACTGCCAGGAGCAGCACTGCGAGCAGACGCTGTCGCTGGACTCGCACGCGCTGCTGACCTACAGCACGGCACGCACCAGCTTCGTGTGCCCGCGCTTCCACAGGAGCGCGCGCTGTGCCTGCAACGGTGAGTGCGCCCACGTGCCTTGGGGCGCCCGCCCCCCACCCCCGCTGAGCCCTTGGGGCTCCCTGAGGGAGCAGGGAGGCGCGGGGTGCCAGGACAGCGTGCCCTGAGCCGGCAGCTCCCAGCACACAGGCAGGCGGACACGCGCGGAGCCCCAGCAGAGGCGGAGCCCCGAAGCCAGGGAGGCCACTGGGGGCGCTGGGGTGGAGCTGCACCCCGCATGAGAAGTAGGCTGGGAGCGGGCGGGGAGCGAGAGCCGGCGGACGGGGCCAAGGCCAGGGCGGCTTCAGGGCCTGCGGGCCCCTTGGAGTGGCGGGGAGAGGCCCTGCCCCTGGGCAGTACGGCCAGCTGGAGCAGACCCAGCGTCTCGGCCCGGCCTGCGGCAGGGGGGCAAGGCAGTGTGGGGGGCATGTGGGCTCCGCACCCCACTGAAGGTGCCGGCCGCAGAGGGGTGCCAGACTCCGGACAGCAGCGGGGCAGCGGGGGGCTGTGCACAGGCGGGGGCAGCAGGTCTGCTTGCCTGGAGGACAGGCCCGAGGCCCGGGAGCACCGTGGGGGCGGAGTCTCCTGGGCAGCCGAGGTCAGGCCAGCGCAAGCTGAGTGCCAGAGCCCCGGCCTTTGCTGGCCACCTGCCTGGCCCCGGGAGAGCACAGCTCCTCTGCTGGCCCCGCCGGCCCCTCCCTGACCGGGAGCCGTGAGTTCACTGCCCTCGACTAAGGCGTTGGTACCACCTGAGAGAGCGTGGCTGGGAGGCCTCTGTCCAGGGAGAGGCATTTGCAGAACGTGGCTTTATGTTCTCGGGGAGGGCAGGGCCCTGGCCGCGTCCCTCTGGAAGCTTCTCGGCAGCGCTGGGCGAGCAGGCGCGGTAGAGGAACCTCAGTGCCTCACAGACCGGCGTGTCCCGGCCTCTCTCCGCCTCTCCTGGGTGTCGCTCCACGATGGCCCCGCTGTGGCCAGGTGTGGGCCCGGAGCACGCAGCCCGGGGTACGCCTTCCCCACCAGGCGCCCAGCGTGTGTGGAGTGAGCCGCCGCCCTGCCGCCTGGGCCTCCTTGTGGCCAGACTGACGTGCCCAGGCCAGGCCGGCGAGCGGGCTACCAGAGGGACGGCGGGCTCAAGGGCTCGGGGGCCACCCAGCTCGTTAATCCCCGCGCTCCGGGCGCCACCCCAGTGAAAGGCCGCGGGAGCTCTGCCTGGCGTCTGCCGCAGGGGAGTCTGCAGCAGAATCGGGGAGAAGCCAGGGGCAGGGGCGGGTGGGGCGGGGGACAGCCCTCTGTGGATGGCGCAGAGCTTTCGGGGACGTGGGTGCCAGGGGCCCCAGGCCAGGTCCAAGGACTCGCCCGAGCCCACCGGCGGGGCAGGAGGCAGACTGCAGGGCCTCCTGGAGGGGGCGTGGGGGCAGCGCTGCACCCTCGGGACCCCGTCAGGTGCGCACTCCCAGGGAGCCCTGGCTCTGTGGGGTCCGGTTCTCGTCCTGCGACCCGACCCCTCCCGGAAGCCACGGTGCCGACGCCCTGGGCCGCCTGGGCTGGAGGTGCCCGCCTGGGCTGCTCGCCCCCTTTGAGGGGGCACATCCACACCCCCGGGGAGAGCAGCGCTGGATTCAGCGGGGAAGGGAGGCCCGAGAGGACGGCTACCCGCCTCACCTTCCGCAAGCATGTCCACTCTCTGACCAGCTCCCACCACCTGCTGGGGTGGCCACCGGAGCGGGGCGTGCAGCCTGCTCCTTGGGCTGGGGTCGCTCCAGCTGCGCTTGGCCCTGACGGCCGCCGAGAGCAGGCCGCGTCCAGACCGCCAGGCAAGGCCGTCTTGCTCACCTAGCAGCCTACTCAGGCCTGGACGACCCGGTGACAGTCCATGAGCTAAACGCCACGGGGGCAAGGCCCTGGACGTCCCAGAGGAGCCTGGCTTCCCGCCCAGCATGGGGACGCGGGTGCCCTCACCCCATTTGGCTGCGGGAGCCTGCTCTGTCGTGGCAGCCGCCTCCCCAGGGAGGAGCCACTCTGCCCACATCCATGTCCAGCTGGGGGCGGTCACTCACCACCCGGGCGCCACTCGGCCTTCAGGCTCTCTGGAGCCACGAGGGAGCGAAGCGTGGCTGAGTGGACACACAGCAGAGCTGGAGCCCCACTCTGGGCCTTCTGGCAGGGGGACCAGGGGGACCCCAGAGGATGTTCAGAGCCTCAGCAGGCAGACCCCGGCCCGGACGCCTGTTTGGAGGAAAGGAAAAGCAGCCTCTGGGGCCAGCGCTGGCGGCAGCACCGCCGGGCTCGCTCGAATGTCGTTAAACCCAGGACACACCTGTCTCGTCGCCGCTCCTGTGCGCCCAGCGGGATCGCGGGGCCGGCGTGGGGCGGGGTTGGGGGGGGGGGACCTGGGTCTGCGTGAGGCCAGCAGAGGAACAGGAGCCGGGGCTGGCTGCCGCCAGCTGCCTTGCAGCTTTTGCTTTAACCCAGGGGTGAAGAGAGCCTGAGCAGCCGGCGGCAGGCTGCTCGGGGGTACCCCCTTTCTCTGTGGTCTTCGCCCACCTAAACTCACCCCCCGGCAGCAGCCTGATTGCGCGTGAAGTATGTCACGCTGGGTGCGGGTCACCCACTGGGGCCTGAGTGCCGCCTCCTCGCGGGTGCTCCCGGGACCTCCCTCTGGGCCTTCTTCTCGGGTGTGAGCCTCAGACAGGCGGAGAGGAGCCTCCCCGTCGCGGGCGCCTGCAGCTGGCAGGGCGCAGCCACCGGGACCAGGACAGGGGCCGGGCGGGGGGGGGGTGGTTAGGACGCAAGGGCCACGCGGCCCAGCACATCAGACCGGTCAGGCTTTTCCTCAGAAATGTCTCCCTCTCCAGAAGCAGCTGCCCCTTGCGACGTCTGCGGTGGAGGCTGAGTCTGGGGGCTCGCGGGCAGACCCGGTGGGGAGGGGGGAGGCCACGGCTGTGGGAGCCGCGGGAAGTGCGGAGGCGCGGGCGCGCAGGGAGCCCGGCCCCCAGGCAGCCCCGGCCTGACGCAGCCACAGGCCGAGCCCGGAGAAGGCCCCGCAGGGCGAGCTCACCCGCCCTCCCACCCTCCGGCCCAGGGGTCCGGCCCGTCTCCGTGATGAACCTGCCTCTGCGGGTGGGAGGGTCCCCCCAGGGACGCTCATTCTGACAGGACTCTGGAGAAGCTTTTCCTGGAGGGGCCTCAGCCCCCCTCCCTGAACCCCACACCCTTCTAAGCCACATCAGTCCACCCTGAGTTTCGGGGGGGCATTCCACTCCTCGCCGCGCCCGCTCTGGGAAGCCCTGCAGCTTCCCCGGCCCTGGTCAGGGGGCAACTCCCGCTGCAGCTTCAGCCCGGAGCAGCTCCGTGGCTGGCCACGCCCTGCCCCCTTCGCACTGACCGTGGCTCTCTCTGTGGCAGGAGGACTGTGTCCGGGCGCCGACGACCCCTGCGTGGAGAAGCCGTGTCCGGGAGACATGCAGTGCGTGGGCTACGAGGCCAGCCCGCGGCCGTTCCTGTGCCAGTGTCCCCCGGGGAAGCTCGGCGAGTGCTCAGGTGCGGACGGGGTCCACGCCTCGCCTGAGTCAGGATGCTGGCCCCGACAGCACATGTCCACTCGACTTCCTCCCAGTGGGCCCCAGCGAGAGCCTGGCTGCTGGGGAGGTGTGCCGGGCGCTGCCAGGACAGGGACCGCGCTCCCGGGGCCGGTCGTGGTGAGGCTGCCACATCAGGGAGAGCAGGGGCCACTGCTCGGGTCGCGGATCCAGCTCCCTGGCCCGCTCTGGGGCTGCCATGGCCACATGAAGCCACAGCGCGGAGCAGAGGCCACTCGGGGGGCTGAGCCACCAGTCCGGAGCCCCTGGCGCAGGCGGGTCCCGGAACGCAGAGGCAGCCGTGGCCCCAGAGGGGACTCCGTGGGTGGGATGTCTCCACCCGCGACCCTGACGGCCCCGTCTCAGTGCTTCTCGGGCCCGCGCCCGCGAGGGGCTGTCCTGGGGCTCGGCAGCTGGCCTCGTAGGAGGAAGCGAGGGTGGCTCTGACAGGGCTTTCAGTGCGAATCAGAGACGGTCATGCCCGCCGCTGGCCCAGCACTCTGCTGAGCTTCGGGGCCCAGGCACCCGGCCCAGGGTCCTGACCGTGGCAGCCAGGGCGCTCCCGTTGCAGGCGCCCGGACGCAGCTGCGGGGAGGGGAGGGTCCCGCTGGCGGCCCCGGCTCAGCCTGAGCCCAGAGCTGGCCGCCGACCCCTTCCCACACGCAGGCCTGGTCCGCCGCCTCGCCCCCCACGACCCCCTCCACCCCGCCTGGCGCGTGGCTGCCCCCACAGCGGGTGTTTGCAGCCGCCCGTCCTCTCCCCGGCCCCTTCAGGACACTCGTCGCTCAGCTTCGCGGGCAACAGCTACATCAAGTACCGGCTCTCGGAGGACAGCAGGGAGGAGGCCTTCCGGCTGGCGCTGCGGCTGCGCACCCTGCAGGGCTCCGGGGTCGTCATGCACACGCGCGCCGGCCCCTGCCTCACCCTCAAGGTAACAGGCGCTGGGGCGGGGCGCTGGGGCCCTGTGTCCGGCACGTGGAGGGGTCCCAACCCGGGGCAGCGGCCCGTGTGTGCACCTCCCTCGGGGCTGGCCGGGGCCCACGGCACAGCCCTTGGGCCTCACGCCTGTGCCCGACCACCCTGTTGGAGACCCGGCCAGAGAAGATTCCGCATGGCCCACGCAGGGTTGTCTCCAACCTCAGAAACCCCCCAGATTCGTGCTCAGCCCACAGCACCTGTCGCCGTGAAAGCACACTGCACGCGGCTCTGGGGCGCACCCCACCTGGAGGTGGACCTGAGCCGCTACCCTGCTCCCCCGTCACCCCTGCTGGCCAAGAGGAGGTGCCCCGGGCGGGCCGGGCGGGCCAGGACCCTGCGCGGGCGCCTGACGTGGCGTGCCCCTCTGCAGATCGTGGACGGCAAGCTGTGGTTCCAGCTGGACTGCGGCACGGGCCCGGGCATCCTGGGCATCTCGGGCCGCGCGGTCAACGACGGCAGCTGGCACTGGGTGTCCCTGGAGCTCAACCGCAACTCCACCAGCCTGTCCCTGGACGACAGCTACGTGGAGCGCCGCCGCGCGCCCCTCTACTTCCAGAAGCTGCGCGCTGACACGGCCGTGTACTTCGGGGCGCAGGTGCAGGTGGGCGGCGCGGCGGAGGCGCGGGCCGCACCGGTGCTGAGCGGCTTCCAGGGTTGCCTGGACGCCGTGGTGCTCAACGGCCACGAGCTGCCGCTGCAGAACAAGCGCAGCAGCTTCGCCGAGGTGGTGGGCCTGACCGAGCTCCGGCTGGGCTGCGTGCTCTACCCCGACGCCTGCGCGCGCGGCCCATGCCAGCACGGGGGCAGCTGCAGCGGCCTGCCGTCGGGAGGTGAGTGGCCCCTGCACAGGCCGGTGGGGGGGCCGGGGGGACGACCCACAGGGCTCACGGGCCACCCTCCCTAGGCTACCAGTGCGCCTGCCTCTCCCACTTCACCGGGAGGAACTGCGAGGCGGAGGTCACGGCCTGCTTCCCCAACCCATGCCGCAACGGCGGCTCCTGCCACGTGGCGGGCGGCGCCTTCACCTGCAGCTGCGGCGCGGGCCTCACGGGCCTCAGGTAAGGGCCACGGCTGCACGGGAGGCAGTGCTGGGGGCGCTGGTGCCTGGCGGTGGCCTGGGCGTGGGGCACATGGACACCCCTCCCCGCGCTGAGCACACGTGTCTGCCGCAGGTGCGAGGACGACGTGGACGAGTGCGCGCGCGAGGAGTGCGAGAACGGGGGCGCCTGCGTGAACGTGTTCGGTTCCTTCGCCTGCAACTGCACGCGTGGCTTCGTGGGCCCGCGCTGCGCGCTGCGGCCAGTGCTCGTGCCCGACATCCGGGCCGGCCAGGCCTACGTGGGCAAGGAGGAGCTGGTGGGCCTCGCCACGGTGCTGCTGGTCATCCTGGTGCTGGTGGCGGTGTTCGCCGCCTTCCGCAGGAAGGTCTTCCGCAAGCACTACTCGCGCAACAACATCGCGCTGGTGCGGGACCCCGCGGCCGCCGCGCTGCTGCGCAAGACCAACGGCGCAGCCTTCCGCGGCCTGCGCGCCGGGGAGCCCCCGCAGGTGCCCGTGCGCCCCATGGCCTACACGCCCTGCTTCCAGAGCGACTCCAGGGGCAACCTGGACAAGGCCGCCGACGCGCTGGGGGCCGAGCACCAGGAGATGACCACCTTCCACCCCGAGTCGCCACGCATCCTGCCGGCGCGCCGCGGCGTGGTGGTGTGCAGCGTGGCGCCCAACCTGCCCACCGTGTCGCCCTGCCGCTCGGACTGCGACTCCATCCGCAAGGGCGGCTGGGACGCGGGCCCCGACAGTGAGTGGGGCGCACGGAGGGGCTGGGGAGACAGCCAAGTCCCCGGCCTACGGACATTCTCCTGGAGTGTGCCCCGCAAAAGCCCGGCTTGGGGAAAGCTAAACCCCGGAGCGGGGGTGGGGCCCGTGCCGGCTGCAGGCGCCCAAGCGCACTCGGTCCCCACACCCGGGCTGTGCCCTGGGCGGTCGGGAGGAGAGTGGTCTGGTCCAGGCAGACGCCTACAGGACCGGGGAGGGGCGGGTGGCGTGTTGGGGATCCCAGCTGAGGAGGGGAGCTGGTGCTGCAGGGCAGCTGGGCAGCAGCGAGGGCAGAGGCCAAAGCCAGCTCTGACTGATGACCGAGACCAGCCCCAGATGCGCAGGAGGGCGGGCAGCCGGGCGTCTTCCCGTGGGCCCTCCTGCGGGGTCCGCCGGCAGGAAGGCTGGCTGGGAGATCTGGGAAAGGCGCCCGGAGGCGGGAGGCAGGTCTGGGCTCTGTTGCTGAGGCCCTGAGCGTCCATCCGGGAGTCTCCGCTCAAAGCTCGCGGGGCCGAGGGCGCCGATGGGGGTCGCCGGGTCCAGAACCGTACAGCGAGGTTACTCCTGGCAGCAACGTGCCTGGGGCCAGGCCAGGAGGGCCCCAGTGACTGGGCTACTCTGCTCTATCCCTGCAGTCCACCAGGACAGAGGGGCCGAGGACCCCGGGGACGGGACGTGCTTCTCAGGCAGCAACAAGGGCAGCAGCTCGGAAGTGCAGTCCCTGAGCTCTTTCCAGTCGGACTCGGGAGATGACAACGGTGAGGCCGGGCCTGGGCTCCCGTCCTGGGGGGGGGGGGGGGGCGTGGCGGGCCAGGGTGGTCAGTGTAGGCTGTGATGCCACAGGGGCCGGCTCTGCCCCGGGACACAACACGACGGCGGGCGCCTCTCCACCTCCTCTGTGCGTGCACACCCCCCCAGAGCCTGATCCCCACGGCCCCTCCATGCAACTGCCCCCCACAGCACTCTGGCCCCTGGCGTGCGCCTGCGTCGTGCACCGTGGCTGCAGGCAGCTCCCGGGGACAATGGCCACACGCCTGCCCCGTGTGCAGGCCTGCCTCCCTCCCACCGCAGGAGAGGCCGGAGCGTTTGCCCTCCAGGCAGCCCCTACGGCTGCCCGTGCGCCCCGCTTAGCTCTTTGCCGGAGGGCGTGCCCGGCCGCCCCACGAGCAGGAGTGTCCAGTTCTCGCGGACGAGTGCCAAGCCCAGAGGCCCCCAGAGCCCCAAGGCGGCGTGTGGACAGCCCGGCCGTCCAGCGGTCTGTGAGGCTGAGGCCGCTGTGCCAGGAGCGGGCTGGCGGGGCTCCATGGGCGGGAGGTCAGGGGCTGCAGAGGCCCTGCCCACAGCAGGCACTGTCCCGCGCGGCAGGGGGTGTTCTCCCCCAAGCCTCGGCCCCTGAGAAGCTCAGTGTCTCAAAGAACGTCCCCGACATTCCGGCAGAACGGTGCCCAGCTGTCTGCCCAGCGAGCCTTTCTGGAGGACCGGCCGGCGTTGCTGCTGTTGAGGGCTCGGGGCTGGAGACCCCGCCTGCCCGGTGTCCCTGCGAGGCCGTGGGGGCTGCGGTGCTGCGGCCGCGCCATGGCGTCGGGGCGGGGGGGGGGCGGCGGCTGAGAGCCGCTGTGGGCGCCACGTGTCACTCACCTGACCTGTCCTCTCCTCCCGCCTTCTCTTCCGGCCACAAGCCTCCATAGTGACTGTCATTCAGCTTGTCAGCAATGTCGTTGACACTATAGAGGACGAAGGTACTTGCTCCCACCATGGCCTCCACGGAGGGTCCCGGGGTGCCAGCGTGTGGCTTAGTGTGGGGTGGACGCGGCCAGCGGCGGGCACAGGCGGCCTCCAGGGCCCTGCATGCTGCTCCGGGCGGGCGGCCTGCACGGCGGGCTCTTCTGAAAATCCGCCGAGAGACGTCCGTCCCACTGGCGGCGGGGAGCGTGGAATCCGCCTCTCGTGGGCTCCTGAGCGGCTGGTCCAAGGGGCGGGCCCCGGACGTGGGGCTGCAGCCTGCAGGCTGACCGCCTTCCGGCCGCGGCCCCGCGGCTCTGGAGGCCGGGCCCGGGGCGGGCGGCCGCCGCCTGCCATCCTCCGGCACCGGCCGGGGTTCTTGCCCTGCCCGCGGCCCCCGTCAGCCTCGCCTCTCGCTTTGTGTCTGAACAGTGTCCATCGTGGATCAAGGACAGAACTACAACCGAGGTGACCGGCAGGCAGGCCCAGAGTAGCGTTCTGCTTGCTCCTTTTGTGCCCCCCCAGCTGCTCTCCTCTGGGCTGTGCATGTGCCGCGTCTCACGGCTCCCCCCGCCCCCCCCCGCCCAAGGGCCTCCCCGCGCATGTGGCCCACAAGCTCCGCATGTGGCGAGTGGCCTGAGGGGGGCGGGGAGGGGCCTGGGGTGGCCAGCGGTGTGTGAGGTCACGGCCCCAGGCGCCACCCTGCCCGGGAAGCCAGCGCCTGGGCTGCAGGGTCGGCTGCTGGCCACCCCGGTCACTGTGCTCCCCGCCCCGCAGCCTACCACTGGGACACGTCGGACTGGATGCCGGGGGCCCGCCTGCCGGACATCGAGGAGGCGCCGCACTACGAGGGCCCCGAGGGGACGCCGGCGGCCGGGGCAGCGCGGGAGCTGGACAGCGAGTACTACCTGGGCGGCTACGACGTGGACAGTGAGTACCCGCCGCCGCCCGAGGAGGACTTCCTGAGCCAGGACCAGCTGCCGCCGCCGCTGCCCAGGGACGGCCCCGACCAGGACGAGGCCCTGGCCCTGGCCAGGCCGCTGAGCCCGGGCTGCCGCCGCCGGCCACACTTCCACCCCAGCCAGTACCTGCCGCCCCACCCCTGCCCCCACGACGCCCCCGACCCCACCACCTGCCCCTTCAGCACGTTCGCAGGGAGTCTGCCCAGGGCCCCGGAGCCGGCCGCCCCCCCAGCGGCGACCCCCTGTCCTTGCACAACCCCAGAGGCGCCTGGGCCCCGGACGTGTCCTCCAGCTGCGGCCTGGACGGGCCCGGGCTGGCCGTGGGTGACAGTGGGGGTGGGAGCGAGCCCGGCTGCCACCTGCCCTTCCTGGAGACGCAGCACCAGACCCAGGTGTGAGGTCAGCCCGGGAGGCGAGGGGCAGGGCCGGGGTGGAGGGAGGACGGCGGCCCCGCGGGACTCGGGGGCCCCTGTCCAGGCAGGCCGCCCGGAGACGGGCCTGCGGCTGCGGCAAGCCGCGCGTGCTCTGGCGGACGCTCTGCCTCGCCCCGGCGGGGCCCGCGCAGCCCAGCGGCCGGCCCCGTGGGGTCACTCCCAGCCGGCGAGGGGGCCGTGAAGACAGTCGCTGCGATTGGGGAAAGTCAGTCTTTTAGGCGAAAGAAAAGAGAAACACGTGTCGTGGAACGAGAGGATTGGCCGAAGCCTTTAAAACCCTCGTGTCAAGCGGCCGCCGCTGTCCAGGTGGGGCGGGGCGGGGCGGGGCGGGGCGGCGTCTGGCTCACCGTCCCCTCTGGGCGCGCTCAGGGCCGGGGTGGGCGCTGCTGGACCCTGAGGAAGGCGCCGAGGGAGAGCCGGGCGGCGGCTCGGGTCTCTGCGGGGCTGCGCGCTTGGTCCTGGCGGCCGCGGCCCGGTGGGGCTGCAGCGGCCGCCCTTGCGCCGGGCGCCAGGGAAGGGAGGGCCGGCCTGGCCACGGCGCCGCGGGTGGGGGCTCTGGTGTCGCCGGGACTCGCTCCCTGGAGGAAGCAGGGTCTGCTGGACGCCTTCCGCCCGATCCCCGCCAGCCTCGCCGGCGCGGAGCCGTTCGTGTTGTCCCAGCCGGCAGCGCCGTCGTTGGTTGCACTGCGGTGTTGTTTTAAAGAGAAGAAAGCCGAGCAGGGCCCGCGCGTGGACCGAGGGGGCGTGTCGGGCCCGGGGGTGCTCGCGCCGAGGGGCCCTTCCGCGCAGCTGACGGGCGCTGCCGTGTCCCTGCCGGGCCGGCCTGCCTCGGCCTCTGTGACGGTAGAGAAACGCCGGACCCTGCCTCCTCGTCCCGCCGACGTGACTTGGGCACGGCCATTTATACCCCCGGGTCAAAGCTGCGCCACAAAAGAAAAAAAACATGGCGTTTGGTTACAACGGTCACCCCTGAACCTGAGTCTGAGCAGAGGTGACGACTGGCCTCGCTCGGACCCGCTGCATCGCAGCTGCCTGGGCGCCGGCCCGCGTCCCCAGAACTGACCGGGGAGGCGCCCGGGACGCTGGTGCAGGGCCCAGGGGCTCCGCTCAGCCCGCACCCCTCCAGCCGCCTCTCCGCGCAGACCCCGGGGCCTGGGAGTAAGTGACCGCACTAAGGCTGCTCTTGAGGCCTTGGTGTTTTTCTGACCTGAGAAGCACATTTGCATCAATCATGGAGAAAACGACCGAATGTCTGGGGTCGAAGCCCTGCTCGTGACGCGAGGACGGAAAGCCGTGGGCGCAGAGCTGCAGCCTCCGGGGAGAGCGAGGGGGCGGGCACAGGACGTGCGAGCCTCCCTCAGGGCCTCTGTGGGGACGCGCTTCCTCCTGGACGCGGCCCCTTCCCTCCTGCACCCCGCTGTCCCCTCCTTGCCAGGACGGGGGAGCACCCGTGGGTGTGGGCGGCCCCCAGCACCGCGCCCCGTCACGCCCACGCTGCCCTCCCGGGCCTGGCCTCTCCTGCCCCAGGCCTGCTTAGGAGGACGGGGGCCGGACGGCTCAGCGTGTCTCTGGAAGCCCCGGGGCGCGCGAGAACTCCTCACACGTTTGTTTGCACGTTCCTCAAAGCCCTGCTTTTGCCAAATGGAGTCCTCTCGTGCGGGGCAGGAATGAGCAGGCTGAGCCCGGCCTCGCCAGGGCCAGTGTGGCCCTGACCGGGACGTCCCCTGCCGGCCCGCCTCCCGGCCTGGTGGCGTCCGCCCGGCGAGCGTCGCTCTCCCGCGCGGCACCCCGTGCGGGGCCCCTTTCTGAGGGGCTCTCCTGCGGGGGGAGGGGCTGCGAGTCTCACCTCTGCCCGCTGCCATCGTGGGTGCTGTCCGCCCGCCCGCGCCCTGCCCAACCGGGAGCCCGCCAGGGCCTGAGAGGGGATGGGTGAGGCCTCCCGGGGCCCCAAGCACACCGGGGCTGTCCCTCGCTGGCCGCTCGGCCCAGCCCACCCTGGGGGTCGGCCGCGGCCCAGCCCAGAAGCACCTCCGGCGCCCAGGCCTCGTGTGTCCCGTCCGCTCTTCCTTCACCCGGGAACGGGGCCCGGGGCCGTGCTCGGCTGTCTGTCGTGTGGGCGCCGCCAGGCGCTGGTGCGTGCGGGGTCCGCGAGCTGCCGGCGGTGTGCGTCTGGGGTCGGAGGTGTTCTTTCCTGACGTCGTAACGAAAGCAATAATCCCAGTGTGTGCTGCCACACGAAGGCCATAATCAGTCTCTGCCCGTGTATTCAGGGTGCACTAGAGTCGCGGCGTGTGGAGAGGGGCCGTCAGGAGGCCCCGGAAGCGGGTCCCCACTGGCTGCCCTGGGGTGCGCCCGGGCCGCTGGCGGGGGGGCGCGGGGTCCTGCAGCGCGCCTCGGGAGCGCGCCCTGTCGGCCTGCTGTTGTGAGCGATGTGTGTGTTGGTGTTGGGAGTGTGTGTAGCCCTGTGCATGGCGCTCAGCGTTGAGGCGCTTGCAGAGACTGCACCTCACGCCCGTCAGGATGCTGTACTCGGGGGTCCCGGCGCTCGGCCCACGCTCGGCCCACGCGCTCTCTCAGGCCGCGGCGACCGCGCGCTCAGATTGGAAGCGGACGGTTCCCACCCTCCCGCGGGGCGCTGTGGCGTTGCTCTGGGCCCAGCGTTTTCGTTTAACTTTCTCTGTTTTCAAGAAAACGTTTTTTATGCCGTTTCTTCCAGCAAGTGTGTTTGGCCCCGTTCTGGAGGCCCGGCTTTCAGGCCGCGCCCCGAGACGGCGGCCCGCGCACGCGCACGCACACGCACACGTTGCACACACACTTTATGCAAGGGGCTGGCGCTCGCCGCCCTCGGGACGGGGCTCTGCGGACGCTGCTGCTGACGGTGTTCAGTCTCGCGTTCTTTTTCTAAAAAAAAAGGAAGAAAAGCAAAACCAACAAAAATACAGCCAAAAAACTAAATCCCCACAGTGTACAGGTTTGTAACTGCCAACATTTCATGGTCAAACGAGTTTTCAAGTAAAAAGAAAAAACAAACCTCGCAGTCATGTGACTCTTTGTTCCGCGCCTCCTTGTCCGGGAGTCACCGGCCGGCCTGGTGGGGGGCAGTCGGGCCCCACAGGCCCCCGGAGCCTCGTGCCGTGTGCAGCCTCCTCCCAGGGGCCGCGCCCAGCAGGCGTCTGCACACCCCCTGGCAGCTTCCCGTCCTGGAGACCCTCTGTGGGCGGGGGGGGGGGGGGGGGGGGGCTGGCCCCGGGGGGCTGCCTGTCTGCAGGTGACGCCGGAGAAGGCGCCCGAGGAGGAGGCACCCCCGGCGGGGCCGGTGTCTGTGTGGGCCGCGCGGGCTTCGTGTTGCCCACGGCAGTCAGGACGGCAGTCGGGACGCCTCCCGCCGCGCCCCGGACCTCGTGACCAAGTAAGTGCACGCGGAGCTGCGGGAGAGGGTCTGGGGCGAGCGCGGAGCCTGGGAACGGACTCGAGGGGCAGTGACTGGAAGGGCAGCGCCGCGTCCTGCGGGGTCCACCATTCACCGGCGAAGCCAGGCGTGGGGTGGGGCGGCGCGAGCACAAAGGGGCCTCCCCGGCTCAGAATACGCTTGATCCGGGGTTCAGGACACAGGTGGTTCCGGGACCCGGGGGCAGCGCCGCTGAGCTGTGCCCATCGCTGCCAGCAGCGAGGTGATTGAATTTCCCCGTCGTGTGGCACAGATTCACCCTGGGGCAACGGGGAGAGCAGGGGCACACGGTGCAGTCACAGATGAAATTGTTTCCTTCCGGTTTGATTTTCCAGCAAAACTCATCGTCAAATGATTGGATTAAATCATGGAAATGATGGTCAGAATAAAAAACACTTGGGAGAAAATGTGCAAATTGCAATTAAATCTCATGTCTTCCCTCACTGTAAGCTGCCAGTGCCTCTCTCTGTGTGGTGAGGGGGGTGTGGGCCTGGGTGGGGGTGGGGTTGGGTGTGGGGGGGTGAGGTGTGGGGGGGTGCGGTGAGGGCGGGGGTGGGTGTGGGGTGAGGGTGTGGGGGGTAGGGGTGAGGGGGTGAGTGGGTGGGGTGACGGGGGTGAGGATGGTGGGGGGTGGGGTGAGGGGGTGGGGTTGGGTGAGGGGGTGGGGGGTGAGGGGGGTTGGGGGGTCAGGGGGCTAGTGTGGGCAGGGGGAGGGTGTGACTCGTCCTCAACCAGGTTGCCGCCTGGGTGGCGGGGGAGTGAGTCTTGGTCCCCTCGGGGTGCAGCGGGTCCAGGGCGCGCTCCCACCATGGAAACCAGCAGCAGCCCCCGCCAAGCAGTGAGGGGGTCAAGAGCCGCGGCCTGTCCACGCGGGAGCTGTCCACGCAGGAGTGTCCACACAGCAGCTGTCCATGCAGCAGCTGTCCACCGGGAGCTGTCCACGCGGGAGCTGTCCACGCGTGGCAGCTGTCCACGGCAGCTGTCCACGGGAGCTGTCCACGCGGGAGTCCACGCGCGGCGGGAGCTGGATTCACGACCTGCAAAGTCGCTGCAACGGGGCGTGTCCAACGGGAAGGGCGTGCCCGACTGGGGGGGGGGGGGGAGGGGGCGCGGATGCAGTGAAGGGCGGCGCGGGGCGTGGCCGCGGCGAGCGCTCGGCCTGGTGAGGCGCCGCGGGCTCGCGGGGCGGCGGGACTGGCCGTGAGGGGCCGCCCGGCGCTCGGCAGAGGACGCCGGAGCCCGCGCGCGCAGCCCGGGCCTCCCGCAGCCGACGGCGGCCCCGGCGCGGGCGAGGGCGCGGACGCCGCGGGGGCAGCCGAGGCCGGAGGCGCAGACGAGGCGGGGAGCGGGCGGGCGGGCGCCTCCGAGGTGCGGGGGGTCTGGGGCGCGTGACGCCGGAGCTAGACGCGGGCCCCGGGCGCCCCCTCCTCGGCGCGGGGGTCTCCGGACCCCGCAGTCAAGGTCGACGGCTGCCGCCCCACGCGCGGGCCGGGGCGGGCGGCGCTGCGGGCGGGCGGGGGCGGAGCCGG